AAATAGCTTCAAAGAGAAACTAGAAGGAAACTGATCTTTGCAAGCAAATTTCAGAAGGAACCGGAAAAGACAAGTTCAATTGGAATTTAAAATACTTTCTAAAAGGACATGTACAAAGGCTAGACAGGCCAGGATAAATATGACAGCAAACTTGAAGGAAAGCTATGAATGAGGATATCGGATCTTTAGGCTAGATATTCGAAAGGCAATTTCAAGAGAAACTGAGAACAATGATAAAAGTTTGACAGGCACTTGCAAGAAGATGTTCCTCTCCTTTCACCTCACCATACCTCACCCCTCTGCTCGACCCTTCATTATAGCCCCGCCCATCACCCCAACTTCACTTAACCCTCGCCGTTTTTCCATCTCTTTTGACTCCTCTCCACCCTTTCAGCCCCTAACATTCTTCTTAAAACAGGAACGAGAGGGAGAGAAGAGAAAGCAGCCGTGGAGAACTGAAAAAGGTAAGGGTTAGCGAATTCAAAACGGTGGGAAATGCAAACAATGTGAATAAATATGGATCGTTTTTGGTATCAAGTTTGTGCAACCTTCTCACCCTTCATTGAGCCCTTGCTGCCCTTGCTCGATCTTTGCTTCACCCTCGCTCCACCCTCACTCCATCCTGGCCGGACCATGGCTCCACTCGGATCCGCCCCGCCCCCCTTTCCATTCACTTTACCACCTACCAATTTTAGGCCTTTTCACATCATTTTCAGCTTCTTTCTTCTCTGTAGGTGGAGATGGGGGAAGGCAAGAAGCTGTGGAAAAGCGGCGAGGCAAAGTGCAAAGAAAGAGAGGAAAAGCACAGGTGGACAGATATCAATGGGACACGCATGGGACACGCATTGGAATATACAGAAAAGCAATGAAAAGCAGACACTTTAATGTGGTAATCCCAACAAGAAACCAGCACCAAAATCCTCATAATTGGATTGTATAAGCAATCCCCAAGTGTTAGGTTAAGTTCTTTGCCACGTTACATTGCCTGCAAAGCAAAATGCATGGGCCCACCCTCTGCCTTTTAAAATGCCGCCGCCAATATTTTCTTTCTCTCCGCCCATCTGCCTTTCATTACACCCCACCGACCAACCCTTCATCGTGACCCTGCCCATCACCCCAACTTCATTTAACTCTCTCCGCTTTCCATGCATGCTCACTCCTCTTCACCCCTTTGTCCGCCAGCACCTTATCTTCAGAACAGGAATGAAGGTGTTGGGCGGAGGCAGAGATGGAAATGTGAAAGGGCCGAGAGGGGGAGAGAAGAGAAAAAGTTGCGGAGAAGTGAAAAGGCAAGGGAAGAAGCCCAAGAAGTGGATCAAGCAAAGAACGTACTCGTAATAAATATGCATCGTTTTTGTATCAATTTTTGGCAACCTTCTTCACCCTTCACTCCACCCTTCACTCCACCCTTCATTCCACCCTTCGGCCCGCCCTCGCTCCCCCCTTACAGAAAAGCAATGACAAGCATGCACTTTACACTGCCTGAGAGGCAAAGTGCCTTAGTCCATCCTATGTATGCTTTGTAATGGCACTGCTGCTTTTGGATCATGTCTAAAGAGAATTTCCCACAGAAAGTAGAAAGACTTTTCATATCTTTTCATTTTGTTCGACAATCTCAACTGAACTTCAAAGTAGTTTTGAAAAGAAACGGCTAGATAGATAAGAACGCGGTCAGGATGAATTACTTGCATCTATTTAATGAATATTTTCTTTTTCTCCATCCATTTGCCTTTCGCTACACCCCACCCCCCAACTCTTCATCGTGACCCGCCCATCACCCCAACTTCATTTAACTCTCTCCGCTTTCCATCCCTGCTCACTCCTCTCCACACTTTCTGCCCTTAACATTCTTTTCGGAAGAGGTATGATGATATTGAGCGGAGATGGACATGTAGAAGGGTGAAAAGGGGGAGAGAAGAGAAAAAGCTGCGGAGAAGAGAAAAGGGAAGGAGAGAATTCCAAGCAGTGGATCACGCAAAGGATGTGAATAAATACAATATATATGTCCTTTTATTTGGTATTAATTTATGGTCACATTCTCCATGTTCTCCATACTCCACCCTTCACTCGACCATCGCTCCACCCTCTCTCCTCCACCCTCGCATCACCCTAGCATCACCTTCACCCAACCTCTCCAACCATATCCATCCCTTCCACCTACCCTTCCACCAACACCTTTCCACCTACTTCACCCCCTTTCCGCGTCTTTCTCCTTTGTAGGTGGAGAAGAGGGGAGGGCAAGAAGCTGTGGAGAAGCGGCGAGGCAAGGCGTAGAGAATCCCAAGAGGTGGGGCAGACATTGGCACCTGCAGGAAAGCAATGAAACGCATACACTTTACATTACGCGCGAAACAAAATGCCTAGGCCCGCCCTATGCTTCATAATGGCGCCGCCGTTTTGGGAGCGTGTCTAAAGAGAACTATTCCAACGAACATTGGAAATAGCTTCAAAGAGAAACTAGAAGGAAACTGATCTTTGCAAGCAAATTTCAGAAGGAACCGGAAAAAACAAGTTCAATTGGAATTTAAAATACTTTCTAAAAGGACATGTACAAAGGCTAGACAGGCCAGGATAAATATGACAGCAAACTTGAAGGAAAGCCAAAGGAAATGCACCCATGAATTCGAAGAGCAATTGAAAAGGAGATGAGTAAGGAGATCAGATTTTAGACTAGCCTTTCCTATGGAATAATAATTGAGGTCCTCAGGTCCTCAGAACTGAGACGGACATGTGAAAGGGTGGAGAGGCGGCAGATGAAATCAAAATTAGCCTTCGGACAATTATTGTAGGTGTTATTAGGAATTTTTCCAAACCCCGTCATTCTATACATAAAGGTCCCCTCCACATATATATATATATAATATTTTTAATTTTCTTATTTTATTATCCAAGATTTTTTATTTGTTATTAGATTTTTTCTTTATATCCTAATTTATTTTATTGGTTTGAAGCCCAGGAGGCCTTATGTCCTTATATCTTAATTCCTTTTGTCCTGTAATTTTTTAGTTCCAATTATCCTCTTATTTTTTCATTATGTTATTCGATTATTTTATTATTATATTTTTCTCTTGTCCTATTATTTAATTATATTATTATTATTGTATTTTGTTTGTCTTATTATCATAATATCCTCCTATTTAATTTTATTAATTTTATTATTTTTTATATTTATTTTTTTACTATATATTTTTTTTAAATTAAATTAATTTATTATAATTTTATTTTATTATGTTTTATTTTTTTATTCTCTTTTTTTAATTATTTTTTATTTCCTTATTCCTATCGAATTTTAATTTTATTTTTAAATTCATTATTCTATTATTATTTTTTTAAATCTTATTATTTTATAAAATTTTAAATTAATTTTTCCTAACCTCAATTTATTTTACATTTTAATTTTCTTAATCCATTATATATTATAATATAGATCCGATTTTTTTTTTAAATTTAATTATTAGATTATTTCTACCCAAATATTTTATTAATTTATTATCCTCTTATATTGTAATTTTATTGTTATTTTCAATCGTTTTAATATTTTCCTTTAATTTTTTATTTTATTTTATATTTTTCTCATCTTCTTATTTTTTTTTATTTTAAATTATTATCATATTAATTTATTATTATACCAATTTATAATTAGATATCTTAATTTTTTATACTATATATTTATTTTTTTCAAATATATATTTTTTATTCCGAAGAATCTAAATATACATTAATTTATCTTATTTTCATTTTTTTTAAATAATATATTAAATATATATATATTTTTCCAATATTATGTTAAAATCTTAAATAATATAATATCAATAATAATAATATATATAATTTTTAAAATAATATATTAATATATATTAAAATTATTCAAATTTTAATTAGATTTTTTTAATAATATATTTTAATACAATAAAATATAAATATTTTAAATAATAAATAAATAAATAAAAAATTTAACTACATAATTTTAAAATAAATATATAATAAAATTTAATAATCAATTTAAGATTAAATTATTAAAAGAAAATATATATATATATTTAAATTATATATAATATTAATAAAATTATAAATATCATTATATAATTTATAACAATTGTTATTATTTTTTATTCATTATTATATATACATAATATATAGAATATAATAAATAAATTATAATAAATAAATAAACAAATATAAATATCGTATTTTCCTAAAATTTTATGTAAGTTAGTTATAATTTCAGATCAGGAAATTAGAAAACTTGAGAATTGGTCTAATCTGGAAGTCCAGGTAGAAAATTCCGAGCTCCAAAAAAAATGCCCGACATACCCAAATATCTTACGATCTTACGTCCGCTGTGGCTTGCTATCAGATCATACTATTCACCAAAGGGAAGATCCCAAGGGCACGCCATCCACACAATTCAGAGCTGAGCCCGGAGGGTCAGGCTCTTGACCAAATTCAGCTCCGATATTGTACCATCTTTTGGATGCCAGCTGCTCCCTCAAGAGGGGCACGCTCATCAGCTGACCCAGCTCTCCACCTTTTTCATAGCGCCTTGTGGACGCGATTTTCCAGAAGTCTGTGACTTGTCTGCCGTCTGTTGTGGGTTCACGCAATGGTGGGTTCTGACCTCAAAGTTGATGGCGGTCCTGCGCCGCTTTGTATCATATATTCAAACGCGCAAAACGACGCAGTCTGGGGCTTTCGAACCAGTCTCGCCCAAGCCGCTGGCGGCACTTACTTGTACCTCAAACTTCCCCAAACTTGAAATATCCAAATTTGTGTAGACAATTTGCCGGAAAACCTGCCATTTCAGGAAGTTTTTTTTCTTTCTTTTTTCGATTTGCTGATACCTTTGTACCGGCTGGTGACGACACAGTTTCAAAGCGTCACCAGGGTACTTCCGATTTACAATTTCTATCCAGCAGTAGCACCATATAGTAACAATTTGTACTCAGATGATCTCAATTAAATGCATTATTAAAATATTATAGTCTAATTTATAAGTTTCATTGTTTTTCTATTTTAAAGATCATTTGCACTTAAAGTTTAGGGTCAGACCCGAATTCGATTGAATTAAGTGCAATTTAAAAGATGGACCATATAGATCAGTCGTGGACACCCAAAGCCAGTACCACGTCCGATAAGTCTGACTCGAAGGAGAGCTGAGCCTTCTCAACAGCAACACGGATGGTTGCCCGTACAAATCCATTTGTAGCTTCAAAGCCGCCTTCGGTTGCCCTGACTCGGTCATCTATCATTCCTGCAGCACATTTTTCTGATTTTGCTGAGACAAAGTAGACTCAAGTTGGTGGTTCCTTCCAGGAAAGATTTATGAATACAGATATGAAATACATTGAAATACTATGATATAACATGAAATTATCTATTATATAATATTATCTAATATTATTTAGCGTAAACATACATAAAAGGACATATCATGAGATGTGCTGAAGACACGCCCAGCGTCGCTTGTCATCAGCAGATGAAGCTTCTGCATCCTCCAAGCGAAGGTTGGTGAGTCTTTTGGCCACGGTCAATGCAATGTCCATACCCGAACCGCTGCCAAGAACCCCTGAGGAAGTGCAGAAGATGAGACCATGATAATCCATAGAGCCAACTGTAGCTGCTGTAGCTGCTGTAGCTCCTTCGGATATTTCCGAAGCCAGTCGTGTCTGCAACACTTCAAATAAACACCATGACCTTGACAAAGCTTTCACATCAGAATCCAAGACCATTGTGGTGCCTTTACAGCTCGGGCTCTTGATTGCCAGGAAGAAACTGGATGTTTCACAATCTTCACCAAGCTCTTCAAAAACAGCCCACTGGTTATTGCTGAAGGAACAAATCCAATAAGTGTTCATATCAGCCTCAGCCCATGAATTGTGATGCTCAAGAGCATTCTTGAAGTCTCGAAAAGCGTTGCCCCAGAAGTGACTGACAAACCAAATCACTTCACTTGGCCCAACCAACTCTGCATAGGACACTTTTTGTTGGTAGGTCAATGGTTGCAGGAGATTCCCCACCACGTAGTACATGTTCCTGTCCCGGATGAAGACATGAAACTTCTCGTGGAACTGCAGCAGCTGCTGAATAGAGATGGCCCGCAAGGCACCGCGGGGCACGCGCGAAGGCTGAGGATTCTCTCGCTGAATCTGCTTTTGAAACTCAACAATCCTTAAGTCTCAACTGCTTGGACTATGAAACTTTTGTGTCAAACCAAGTACTATGTCCCATCCATGTCCAGTTTCAGTGTTTGCTATCTTTATTGTTGCAGATTTACTGCTCCATTTGTTAGCTTTGTATGCTGGTTTTTAATACCAAGAAAGGTTGGCTGAAATTCACCAAGCAGCCTGCGGTCTAGAGGTGTCTGAATCATCCAGTGCCAAATTGCCTTACCCAACGCCACCAATGCTGCTGCCCCGAGCACAGCCGCACTGTGGATTTCATCCATATTGCCAACGGTGTAGAGGGCAACAGCTCCACAAAGCAGCACCCACCAAAACAAGCCAAAGGGTAGGAAGTAACCAAAGCAAAATGCCGCTCGAAAGCGACAAATTTGCAGCCAGCCTCTGGAAGCATCAGCACGAAGCTTCAAGGCTTCACCAGGGCCCGTCATGAGAACTAAACGGTTGGGATGGGATTCTACGGCTTTCGCCAGGAAAATCTTGCCATCTAAAGATGCATGGCATGTGCCATTGCAAGTCACCTTGGGATTCATCCATGGCTTGGCAAGGAGATAATGGGGCACTGCAGTTGTTATCACAACTGCTCCACCATCTAGCGAGATGTCCTCGACAGGTATGGCCCGACCAAGGATGAAAGGAAGCAGCAGGAGAAGGCATAGGAGAATGACACTGAACAATGAGACCTTCAGGATGTAAAATTGGTCAATTGCACAAAAACCGCCAACTTCCATATAAGCTGGACCACATGCTCCCGACGCGCAGGTCGTAAGGCCATTTGCATCCGTTCCACCGAAACTGGGGCCGTTGCACCAACAAGAGCCATTGCCCTGCGTGCCCAGCCCATGGGTCTGAGCAAACACATCATCGTTGCAAACACCTCTTGCAGAGCAGACGGCAGTCCCTGTGGAACCTGCGCATTGACCACACCGAAAGAAAGCCCCGGCTTCAGAAAAGAATCCTTGTTGGCACATGGAACAATCAGCTGAACTGTATCCTTGTTGGCAAATACACTCACTGTTGCCCAAGTTGCACGTGCCACGTAAAGTGCATGCAACGCTGGACATGCAGCCTCGAGACCACATCCCAACTCTCAGGGATGTGAGCCGGTCACCGCAAACGTGTCCAAGAATAACATCTTGACGTCCGTCACCATCCCAGTCAGCGAATCGAAATACTGAGAGAGAGCAGCTGTCCTCCACTTCCATTTTGGCCCATGGTATCACACTTCCGTTGCTCTGTCTCATCCAAGGGGTAAGTCTGCCCAATGATTCACGATTTTCCCATTTGTATGTTATCAAGTCCACCAAACCATCACCGTTCCAATCCGCTGCTGCCACGGCTCCAGTTGGCAGCTTCGGAAGCTCAACGAAAGTGAAGTTGCCAGCGGGGTCGCTAAGAGCCACGCGCCCCGAGGACAAAACCACATCCAAGCGATCATCATTGTTCCAGTCCACCACATCAACTATCATTTCGTGGTCTAATTCAAGCAGGAAACTGGGCTCAGCAAAACTTCCATTGGGAAGATGTCTGGACATAGACAAGATCCAAGATTTGGGATCTAGGCCAGGCCATTTTTTGTTGACACACAAGAAGTCTAGCCTGCCATCCATATCCCAATCTATGATATATTTCAACTTCACATCCCAATCGTTTTCTTTAATGCATGGGCACCGAAGGTGCTTGGGACTTGTTGAAAGCTGTCCGTCGGGCAATCGAGAGTAAAGGCTCAAGTCGTCATATGTCTGAACAACAAGGTCTAGACCGTTCTCATTATCCCAGTCGACGATGTACAAATTGTTGCCATGATTTATTTCTGGCAATGAGGCAAAAGCATTCACGCTGTCAGATCCAATCCATGTCACATCCCTCACTTTTACTTCGCAATAGTCGGCAGGGTATTTTCCAGCTCGACTGCAAACAAAAACATCTGCGTGTCCATCACCATCCCAATCAGCTATTCGTACGATCATAAACAAGCCAGCAAGGAAACTGGTGCGCAAACTTCTTGGGGCATCAGAGCCGGACAAAAACTGGAACCGGCCACTTTCCAGGGCTTTGAAGTACATGTTCTCAGAATCTGTGCTGAGAATCACGTCGAGTCTGCCATCTCCGTCCCAGTCAGCAACCTCTGCTGAAGTCCATCCGGTGCTGGGAGGTCCCGAAACCAGCAGTTTCTTTGGACCAAGGCCTCCCGAGTCCAAACGTTCCAAGAGGTACACAGAACCAGAAACGGCCAAAATCAGGTCTAAGTCACCATCACCATCGAAGTCAACAGCCCTAGGAGCCTGACATGTGTGGTACCCTGGAACGTAGGGCCCATAGGGATCAGAATTCTCAGATTCACCAAAATCGATGAGTTCATCGCCGACATCACCACATGTCTTGCTTTCATGCAGGCGTTGCCGCTGTAGCCAAACCAATCGGAATCTGCCATTTTTGCTATGACAGCAAATGACTCCAGCTCCTGTGCCATCCCAATCCGCAAAGTCCATGAAGCCGACCGGGACTTGTAAGCCGTCGGGGGAGGAAGGACCGACCTCTCGAAGCAAAGTCCCATCATCTTGGCGGCGGAAATAGCGAAGAACTGCCGTGCTCTTGTTCCATGGCTCATCATCAGATGGAAAGGCTGTAAAATTGGTCTCTGCATGGATCAAGTCAATAAGTCCATCACCATTCCAGTCGATTGGGTAGTTGAACCCCCGCCCTGCGGTGTGGTCCAGGCTGATTTCCTTTAGAGATTGCATTTCTCCACGGCACTTGGTGCCTGCTGTGTTGCACCATTTTTCTTCCTCCCAGCAATGCCCGTGATAGACAATCGAAACAACAACAAGCAACCATGGCTTTGACTGTCCCATTGCAGTGCCTTTGCACAGTGGGTCAGAAGGACCAAAGTCTAGGCAATAGAAGCGTTTAACTTAAGTGTACATCTGGTGTTCTACTGTCGATGCTAAGGATGCCTACTGTAAATAAAATAATTAACACCATCTCCAGAAAATAAGTTGTATATTCTTTTCAATGTATCTCTTTTCCCCTTCATGCTCCAAAAAGCTTCTGGAATTGAGCAATACCTCAGAACCACCACCGGTGCATTCAAAGCTTCGTGCGTGTTAGTTTCATGATGATTCATGATAAATTGCAGGAAATTGCAGGAAGATCCTTAACATATAATTACAATTTAGTATTATTGATATCATTTAACGACATAAAATGCATATACATGCATCGAGTTTCGGCTTCAAGACAAGTAAACTGATCAGTGAATAAACAACTGCTGCAAGAACGACGTGAAATCCATTGAAATCCTAGATGCACCAGCCCTATGTTCAAGTTCAAGCCCCGATTCTTCACATCTTTGCGCCACTACGGATAGTAGACAAGACAATTGTGCTTTGCACAAAGCTTTGACGCAGCACTCTGTGGCAAAAGTGCCTCCACAATTTGGCGGGAAAATAACGAATCTTCAAGCTTTGAATCAAACAGATCAAACACATCTGTATTCATCTTCACATGTGCTGACCGTCATTGACCGTCTATTTGATGTCTATTTGTATTTCTGGATCTCCACCATCCTCATGCGGAAGGAGCACGACTAAGGAAGGACATCCGCGGCCATTGGCTCCAACCGCACCACCTCCACCAGCTCTTCGGCGGGCCTCTGGAGTGTGTGCCCACCAATGCCAAAAGCTGCAGCCCAGACCTGGGGAACGACCAAAAAAAGCACCCGATAGCAGCGGTTCAACAGCACACCTGCACCGGCAGGTGAGGCGCCAGTGAAGGAGAAACTCTTCAAGCGGGCTGCCTGTCCATCTGTTGCTTCAGTAGCTGGAAGAATCGAAATTTGGCTTCAAGCCAATGCCTCTAGCCAGGAGCAGAAAATGATCTCTGAACTTGGCCTGAGATGAAAGCCATTTGAAAGGATGTCCTTAGCTTCGAATCTAGAAGGACATAGATGTCACATCTTCCAATTTTGGAACACGAGAAAAACCCAAACGTGCAATGGTCAAAACATGGTGAATCCTTTTTGGTCGCCCATCCCACAATGGAAATCTGCAGAATGCCTATGAGTATGTAATTTTGGGAAGTTGGTATCTTCACTCTTAACATCTCTTAACCCATACTAATCCCTATCAATGGATTGATGACCAGCTTCCCATATGGACGACTTAGCCAGGTCTTGACCATGGCACATAAAGGGTATTCTAATGTATTCCACGGGGTATTCGCCAGCAGAGCGCAGTTCTTCAATATAAATGGTTGCTGCGCACCTGCTTGTGCCATGCAGCTGCCCACTCAATGACATATCTGCACCCATCCTCAAGGTCGCCCTGCAGAAGCAGCGATAGGAAAAGGTAACATGAAACAACAATGAAACAACTATGAAACAGTTCAATCATGTTCATTCAGCGTTGGAAATAGATTTGGAAACCACCGAAAAGAGGCAGGCCTCAACAGCAGGCCGTGGCACTTTGAAAACCGCAACCAATCCAGCGCATGTTCATCCACTCCGCCATGGTTGCTAAGTGATTGACCGCTGTCTGGCCTAGTGCTGGATTCAAGAAGGTTTTACACTGAAGAATGCATGGGAGAGTCTTGGAAGTGCTCAAAGCCTCCTTTGAATCTGGAACCTAAGTGATCATTGTCTTCACCACGCGAAATTCTAGCCGCATTGACGTCAAACATCAGGTTTGCGAAGTGGACGATGTTGAGAGCTCTTATGAGACCTTCCAAATATGATGTAATGATGTGGAATGATATGGAAATGTGCAGAATGATATGGAATGATACACTTTTCCCGCATTGTCGTGGAGTCTTGAGATGGAGCTCCGACAAATGTACTCGCGACCTCTCAGGTTTGTTCACCTGGCCACACGCAAAGCAATGAAGCGACACACCGTGGCACACCTGTAGACTTCGAAAATGTTGTGGCAGCTGTGCTGCATTACTTTCCATTAGATCTGAACTTCCAAGATCAGAATGAATGTCCGCCATGCACAATAAGATCAATAAGGAACACAAATCCGTTGCCTAGCTTTGCTCCCAATCTCTTTGGCATAAGATGCAAAGAGATTATCCAAGTCTCCACTCCTTGAGCAAATCTTGGAACTTGGACATTTGGAGGAGATACATGGAAATTCACTCAACATTCTGATACATTCAGATACATTCAGACATTTTGATAATCATTCTGCGTGGGGTTTTCCCCGAGAATTATTGGTCACATCCCACTGTGTCATATTATATCCCCATTGTCGTTGGTTAACCTCCCTACTAGTATGTGGCCTCCCTAATATTTAAATGTATGTATATATAAAGCCATTTCACATTGGTGACCAAATCTCATTAGGTCCCCATTATAACCCATGTTCATTGGTTTACAATGGTTTACATCAAATGATTTGTTTTCTATACTGCCACGTGCGCACCAACCCACCCTGATCTCCCAATTGTCTTCAGATCCGAAAACCACCTGTCGATGCAGGTGATCTCGTGCGCCTGGATCCCGGAAATTCGGAGGAGGTCTGAAGAATGGAGAGACACCAAAAATGGTAGGGTAGATATGGGGGGATTCTTATGGATTCTTCGTATCTTTTCTGGATATCAGAATCTGTGCAAAAGTGGGAGAACTTACCAACTGAAGTGAAACCAGTTTAAATATAAAGCATCCAGTAGTAATGGGTAAGTTCACTAACGGTTGGTGAGGATTGAAGGTCAAACCAACAATTGGCTGCTGTAGATGGGTATAGGCACACAACAAAAGACCGGTAGAAGATGGCAAAAGTATCAGAGTGAGCAAATGTCGAAGAAGAATGGGTACATGCACCCATAAACCTACTAGGACATAACCAGCTGCGCTGGGGGGCAAACCAACTTGGCCGCAAAAACCGTTGCTGGAAGGAGTTTTGGTACAAAAAACACGTAAGTAAATGCATGATAAGTGAACAACAAGACTAAAGTATTTCAATATTTCAACAAAGTGGGTATTTCCAAAAATGAGCCACGCCCTGGCCAAAGTTTCTGGTAGCCTTCTCAACAGAGTAGCCAGTGTTAAAAGGCACGGGCCATTGCCGAAAGCCGCAACCTGCCGCGGAGACTCGCAGCTGTCTGGCTAGTTGAGAAAAATAAGTCAAGCCAAAACTGCGCAGCTCACAAAGCTGATTTTCTGCAGGTCACATCAGATCTCTATGCTGGAATGCCATTCACTGATGTGTCAGCTCTTCGGCCTCCACTACGGACCGGCACATCTCAACTCCTGCACATTGTTCTCTTTGTCCAGTTGATCTCCGAGCACCAAGATACCTTGAAGGGCTAACTATCTTTTTTGTGTGAATATGTGTGAATTAATATTTGCGAATAAATGACCAGAAATGCAGATTAGGAAGGCATTCCATGCTTACTCATACATCCAGTTCACACATCCTATAGGCATTTTGCAAGGATGGTGGTCATTCATGGTCCACCGTGCGCACAAACAGCAACACCTTATCGCACCCAATCAGCTCGTCAAAGTTGCAAAGCCCGCCGAAGGTTCGTTCATCATTGGCAACCCATTAGCCACTGTCTGGTTGAAAAAATTGCACCCGCTTCAATGCTTCAACTGATTTGAATGAACCAACACAGCCTTCATAATTGAACCATCATGAAACCAATTTCAAAGGAATCAGGATCTGACGCAGAGATTGCGCCTTCACTCCACACTTCTTCAGATGTAGATTCTAAGTTTGGACACTTCTGGAAGTTGCGTAAGCAAGTCTCTTGAATTGCTTGGAGTCTGACTGCACTGGACGACCATGGACTCGACGAGCCTTTCTCACCTGGCACATCGTTGTGACATCGACAGGCGGAACATTACAAAAATGAAATCCGCCGACCCCGGCCGACGGCAAGGGGGAGCGCGTCAGGGCAGAGAGGGTTTTGGAAGCCAGCAGCAGCAGCAGCAGCAGCGAGGCCTGCAGCGCCAGCTCCAGCAGCAGCACCAGCAGCAGCAGCAGGAACAGCAGGAACAGCAGGAACAGCAGCAGCAGCAGCAGCAGCAGGCCCGGCAGCTGCAATCGTTTTGCTCTGAACAGAATCCAGAAGGGACGTCAAGCCTCGGGCAGCATGTTTTTGGAGGTCGTTCCGTCCTTCAGTAGCATGGTGTTTCGGTGTGGCGAGGGGTACGTTGTGGAGGCCTGCAGCACCAGCTCCAGCAGCACCACCAGCAGGAAACAGGAGGAAAAAGTAGCTAAAATCATTTTTTTCTATGGGTTTCAGAAGTTACATTAAGCAGTTTTTGGGGGCAATTTTGATGCTTTTCCGTCCTTCACTGCCATGGGGATTTGCCGCTGGGAGTGGTTCGAATTTTGGCGTCAGCAGCAGCAGCAGGAAACAGGAGGAAAAGGTAGCTACAAAAATAAGAGTAGCAGGAGCAGGAGCAGCAGCAGCAGCAGGAGAAAACAGGCAGAAGTTACCTTAGGGAGTTTTTGGGCGCAATTTTGATGCTTTTCCGTCGTTCACTGCCATGGGGATTTGCCGCTGTGAGTGGTTCGATTTTAGGCGATTGCCTTTTGAATATCCCTTTTGAACAGAAGGAATAGCAGGTAGCAGGAGCAGGAGCAGCAGCAACAGCAGGAGGAAACAGGACTAAAATAGCTAATTTTCTGTAGGTTGCAGAAGTTACATTAGGGAGTTTTTGGGCGCAATTTTGATGCTTTTCCGTCCTTCACTGCCATGGGGATTTGCCGCTGGGAGTGGTTCGATTTTAGGCGACTGCCTTTTGAAGATGCCTTTTTGAACAGAAGGAATAGCAGGAGCAGGAGCGGCAGCAGGAGGAAACAGGAGGAAAAAGTAACTAAAATAGCTAATTTTCTATAGGTTTCAGAAGTTACATTAGGGAGTTTTTGGGCGCAATTTTGATGCTTTTCCGTCCTTCACTGCCATGGGGATTTGCCGCTGGGAGTGGTTCGATTTTAGGCGACTGATCCCTTTCTATAGGTTTCAGAAGTGACATTAGGGAGTTTTTGGGCGCAATTTTGATGCTTTTCCGTCCTTCACTGCCATGGGGATTTGCCGCTGGGAGTGGTTCGATTTTAGGCGACTGCCTTTTGAAGATGCCTTTTTGAACAGAAAAGGAGTAGAAGGAGCAGGAGCAGCAGCAGCAGGAGGAAACAGGAGGAAAAAGTAGCTACAATAGCTATTTTTCTATAGGTTTCAGAAGTTACATTAGGGAGTTTTTGGGCGCAATTTTGATGCTTTGCCGTCCTCCACTGCCATGGGGATTTGCCGCTGGGAGTGGTTCGATTTTAGGCGACTGCCTTTTGAAGATGCCTTTTTGAACAGAACAAGTAGCAGGAGCAGCAGCAGCAGGAGGAAACAGGAAGAAAAAGTAGCTAAAATCATTCCTTTTCTATAGGTTTCAGAAGTTACATTAGGGAGTTTTTGGGCGCAATTTTGATGCTTTTCCGTCCTCCACTGCCATGGGGATTTGCCGCTGGGAGTGGTTCGATTTTAGGCGACTGCCTTTTGAAGATGCCTTTTTGAACAGAAGGAATAGCAGGAGCAGGAGCGGCAGCAGGAGGAAACAGGAGGAAAAAGTAACTAAAATAGCTAATTTTCTATAGGTTTCAGAAGTTACATTAGGGAGTTTTTGGGCGCAATTTTGATGCTTTTCCGTCCTTCACTGCCATGGGGATTTGCCGCTGGGAGTGGTTCGATTTTAGGCGACTGATCCCTTTCTATAGGTTTCAGAAGTGACATTAGGGAGTTTTTGGGCGCAATTTTGATGCTTTTCCGTCCTTCACTGCCATGGGGATTTGCCGCTGGGAGTGGTTCGATTTTAGGCGACTGCCTTTTGAAGATGCCTTTTTGAACAGAAAAGGAGTAGAAGGAGCAGGAGCAGCAGCAGCAGGAGGAAACAGGAGGAAAAAGTAGCTACAATAGCTATTTTTCTATAGGTTTCAGAAGTTACATTAGGGAGTTTTTGGGCGCAATTTTGATGCTTTGCCGTCCTCCACTGCCATGGGGATTTGCCGCTGGGAGTGGTTCGATTTTAGGCGACTGCCTTTTGAAGATGCCTTTTTGAACAGAACAAGTAGCAGGAGCAGCAGCAGCAGGAGGAAACAGGAAGAAAAAGTAGCTAAAATCATTCCTTTTCTATAGGTTTCAGAAGTTACATTCGGGAGTTTTTGGGCGCAATTTTGATGCTTTTCCGTCCTCCACTGCCATGGGGATTTGCCGCTGGGAGTGGTTCGATTTTAGGCGAATGCCTTTTGAAGGTGCCTTTTTGAACAGAAGGAGTAGCAGGAGCAGGAGCAGCAGCAGCAGCAGGAGGAAATGGGAGGAAAAAGTAGCTAAAATAGCTAATTTCCAAAAAGTTTCAGAAGTTACATTAGGAATTTTTGGGCGCAATTTTGATGCTTTTCCGCCCTTCAGTGCCATGGGGATTTGCCGCTGGGAGCGGTTCGATTTTAGGCGACTGTCTTTTGAAGGTGCCTTTTTGAACAGAAGGAGTAGCAGGAGCAGGAGTAGCAGCAGCAGCAGCAGCAGGAGGAAACAGGAGGAAAAAGTAGCTAAAATCATTGTTTCAGAAGTTACATTAGGGAGTTTGTGGGCGCAATTTTGATGCTTTTCCGTCCTTCACTGCCATGGGGATTTGCCGCTGGGAGCGGTTCGATTTTAGGCGACTGCCTTTTGAAGATGCCTTTTTGAACCGAAGGAGTGACAGGAGCAGGGCAGGCGGAAAAAGTAGCTATATTCATTCCTTTTCTGTAGGTTTCAGAAGTTACATTAGGGAGTTTTTGGGCGCAATTTTGATGCTTTTCCGTCCTTCACTGCCATGGGGATTTGCCGCTGGGAGCGGTTCGATTTTCGACGACTGCCTTTTGAAGATGCCTTTTTGAACAGAAGGAGTGGCAGGAGCAGGAGTAGCAGCAGCAGCAGCAGGAAGAAACAGGAGGAAAAAGTAGCTAAAATAGCTAATTTTCTATAGGTTTCAGAAGTTACATTAGGGAGTGTTTGGGCGCACTTTTGATGCTTTTCCGTCCTTCACTGCCATGGGGATTTGCCGCTGGGAGCGGTTCGATTTTAGGCGACTGCCTTTTGAAGATGCCTTCTTGAACAGAAGGAGTAGCAGGAGCAGGAGCAGCAGCAGCAGCAGCAGGAGGAAACAGGAGGAAAAAGTAGCTGAAATCATCCTTTTCTATAGGTTTCAGAAGTTACATCGAGGGAGTTTTTGGGCGCAAATTTGATGCTTTTCCGTCCTCCACTGCCATGGGGATTTGCCGCTGGGAGTGGTTCGATTTTAGGCGACTGCCTTTTGAAGATGCCCTTTTGAACAGAAGGAGTAGCAGGAACAGCAGCAGCAGCAGCTGCAGGAGGAAACAGGAGGAAAAAGTCGCTAAAATAGCTAGTTTTCTATAGGTTTCAGAAGTTACATTAGGGAGTGTTTGGGCGCAATTTTGATGCTTTTCCGTCCTTCACTGCCGTGGGGATTTGCCGCTGGGACTGGTTCGATTTTAGGCGACTGCCTTTTGAAGATGCCTTTTTGAGCAGAAGGAGTAGCAGGAGCAGGAGCAGCAGCAGCAGCAGGAGGAAACAGGAGTTACATTAGGGAGTTTTGGGGCGCAATCCTTTTGAAGATGTCTTTTTGAACAGAAGGAGTAGCAGGAGCAGGACAGGCGGAAAAAGTAGCTAAAATCATTCCTTTTCTATTGGTTTCAGAAGTTGCATTAGGGAGTTCTTGGGCGCAATTTTGATGCTTTGCCGTCCTCCACTGCCATGGGGATTTGCCGCTGGGAGTGGTTCGATTTTAGGCGACTGCCTTTTGAAGATGCCTTTTTGAACAGAACAAGTAGCAGGAGCAGCAGCAGCAGGAGGAAACAGGAAGAAAAAGTAGCTAAAATCATTCCTTTTCTATAGGTTTCAGAAGTTACATTAGGGAGTTTTTGGGCGCAATTTTGATGCTTTTCCGTCCTCCACTGCCATGGGGATTTGCCGCTGGGAGTGGTTCGATTTTAGGCGACTGCCTTTTGAAGATGCCTTTTTGAACAGAAGGACTAGCAGGAGCAGGAGCAGCAGCAGCAGCAGCAGGAGGAAACAGGAGGAAAAAGTAGCTAAAATAGCTAATTTCCAAAAAGTTTCAGAAGTTACATTAATTGGGAGTGTTTGGGCGCACTTTTGATGCTTTTCCGTCCTTCACTGCCATGGGGCTTTGCCGCTGGGAGTTGTTCGCTTTTAGGCGACTGCCTTTTGAAGATGCCTTTTTGAACAGGAGGAGTAGCAGGAGCAGGAGCAGCAGCAGCAGGAAGAAACAGGAGGAACAAGTCGCTAAAATCATTCCTTTTCTAAAGGTTTCAGAAGTTACATTAGGGAGTGTTTGGGCGCAATTTTCATGCTTTTCCGTCCTTCACTGCCATGGGGATTTGCCGCTGGGAGTGGTTCGATTTTAGGCAACTGCGTTTTGAAGATGTCTTTTTGAACAGAAGGAGTAGCAGGAGCAGGAGCAGCAGGAGGAAACAGGAGGAAAAAGTAGCTAAAATAGCCAATTTTCTATAGGTTTCAGAAGTTACATTAGGGAGTGTTTGGGCGCAATTTTGATGCTTTTCCGTCCTTCATTTTTGCCAATTTGGTTTGATTCATTGCGGATTCTTCCGGGGTCGGCGGCAGGGGCGGCAGCCCTTAGATAGTACAAACCGAAATAACGTGTCAAAAATGTAAATGCAGGTGAATGTCACGTATCATGCAGGTCTTCGCGATTCAAGTTTGCCAGGTTCCATGGTCAACATCTAGCGTTTGGTTTGCGAAAAAACTTCCCAGGCCGTTTGTTGTCTGTGAGTCGAAGTTGATGATCCTCGCCCAATCCCACAACAAAGGCTTAATTAGAAACAAGGCTGAAACGGTGTTCACACGGCACAGGGCAAAAAATTCAGCTCTGCCGAATTCCAGCATTGTTCCGATAGGCCAAAATCATGCAAGATCAGAACCCGCAAACTTAATTCTCATGGCACAAAATGGACCGAAACGGTTTGTGGATGCGCCTCAAACCAGCTCCACACCTGGCTGAAATGGGCACCCAGAGCGCCACTTGGCAACGTGCAAATTTGAAAACTCAAAGCGATGAGACTTTAACAACCTGAAGTGAATGGACTGGCTTGTTGCTCGAAGGACAAGGTTTGATCTTAATACGACAACCAGGCAGTATTCCTACTTGAATCTTCCATCACATCTGTTCAGCCATAATGATTCACAATGCATGAAAGCCCAACGGCTTCAGAAACTTGCATTTTTTCTTCCCAGTGAAGCAATAGAGCGAGCGAAGCAACATGAAGAAACCTCTTGGGGCGACGACACGGCAAATTCACGACCAGGGCATTTAGTGGGCAGCATTCTTAACCATAAGGTTTGGATTCCTGCCCCAGTTTCAACTTGCCGATAGCACCAATCGCACGAAGACCAGGGGGGCACAGGATGCCTTGAAAATTGGCGGAAATACGCATTGGTTTTGCGTGCAAAAGTGCTGGGCGTAGCACGAAGGCATAGATGGCATAGATTTTGCCATACTCAGCATCGCACATGCCTTGTTGCCACAACAGCTGACAAAGCAGCAGTGTGCACGGATGCGTGCTGTGCGCACGTTTGTATCAAACATTGATTTCGTTATTTTCCAAAGAGGTTGGTTCAAAACAACCTACGAAACCAGTTGACCTGCTTCCACAAGGGACATCAAGGGACAATTTTACCCCAGCTCAAATGGGAAGGGGTGCATGTGACTGTCCAACGGCTGCAGGCAACCCATGGTAACACCATGAGTAAAAACAAACACGCCAAAAAGAGTAGCCCGGTGTCCCTGTTTGTTTTCAATGGCGGTGGTCAAATAAAAATGTTGCAAGCAATCAGTGATGTTACAATTGAACAAACGATTTGGGGCAGCTGTCTTATGCTGGTTGCCAAGGTCCACGCAGTGCTGCAAAACATCCATGGCTCCACCATTCGGCTGCGGGCCCCGCTTTCTCGCGATGATGGCACCGGTGATCAAAGTCTCGCGATGATGGAAGATGTCGCCGCAACCGATATTGTTCATAATGCGGGTGGGCGCTGCACGGTCACTGCTCCTGCGGTGCATGGCCAAAGATGAGGTTGGTCCGGGTTCTCGTCTATTTCGGCTTGTGTGTGATGGTGATGCGCATTGGTTGACCATCTTAGGTCTCAAGTAAGATGTTCTGAACTCGGCGCTCCCCTATAACGCAACAGCATCTGAAGAAAAACTTGCACAAAGAAAAGCTGCTCACTTCACAACCCTGACCAAATCCCAAGCCGAACGGATAGTTTCCTCTTCATGCTTCCTTCCCTCTCGAAGGGCTTCTCGCTGCTCCACGCGGCTGCACTCCATGGGGGTCCAAAATTGGCCCCATACCGCATAGACAGGCTCGGTGATGCAAGAGTACAAACCTGGAAGGGCAACCCCGAACATTTGAAATTGAACTTTTTTCTTCTGAGATCCAGAGTAAGGCAGAGTTGCAAAACGCTGTCAAAAACTTCGAAGCCATTGGAATAATCTGGAATGATCTGCAATAGTTAAATTTTGCCTTAAGCATCCAAGCCACAGCCAAGAAGTGAATTAAGGGCCTCAAAAACCCACAAACAGCACGCACAGGCTCCATTGCGGGGCTGCATCCAAGCACGATCAAGGGAGGCGGAAGAACTCTGCCAAAGGATTGCTACAAACAGCCAAACTTTGCGGCAGTAGCAGCGTCACGTTCACTCCAATTCCTTCCCGCGTGATGCAAGTCAAGCTCCACCCACCAGGCTGGACAAGACGCAAAGGCCCAACAGGATTCAAATCACATAAAGCAACTTCATCCCGATTGCTGAGGCATGTGGCCGCACCATGATTAAAAAACACTGGTGGAAAAACTGCTGGCTCGTGTATTCCACATTGGAACAATGTCGCCATGAAGAATGAACGGCACCTTCCTCATCCACTGTCGGACAGGAGCAGCACGCAAACGTCTCTTGCAGGCCCTAAATAGGGGCCGAGGCTTGCTTGAAGATAGTTCTGGAACCAATTTCCAAGGCAGGATCTTGCGTCAACTTCCATGTATTGAGTTTACTAAACTTTGTGAATCGCCAATTTTCCTGAATTTTCCTGTTCCGATTTCAAAGTCTCCGAGCCTTCCAAAACCTGCGAATCTCCTCCCGCTGCGAAGCGGCCTGCAGCCGGACAGGCGTGGAATTTTCAACCAATAGACAAATATGGACAATATCTTGTGGGTTTGGGGTGCCAACTTGGGGTCTACGGCTCCTTTCGAACCTAGAAGGACATAGATGTCACATCTTCCAATTTTGGAACACGAGAAAAACCCAAACGTGCAATGGTCAAAACACGGTGAATCCTTTTTGGTCGCCCATCCCAAAATTGGAATCTGCAGAATCCCTATGAGTATATGTAATTTTTGGTAGTTGGTATCTTAACTCTTAACATCTCTTAACCCAAACCAGTAGTACCGCACAAGGCGGTGGCGGAAGTTTCAGAATAGGAAACCTATAGGAGACGTTGGTTGTTGTGAATCACGGATGGCAGAGCGAATCCACTGATTGACCGAAAGGTGGTTGGAGTTGTGTTTGCTGGAGTGGTTGCAATGGTTGCAGTGGTCACCTCACCCACAACTGCTGGATGTAGTATGATGTACTGCAACTGTAGTTGTAGTTGTAGCGTAGTGGAGTTGTAGTTGTGGTGTAATGTAATTAGTGTAGTGTAGTTGCAGTCATATAGTTGTAGCTGTAGTTGTTTTGTAGTTGTTTTTTTTTTCCTCTCTTTTTCCTATCTTTTTTTTCTTTTTCTTTGTTTTTTTTTCCTCTCTTTTTCCTCTCTTTTTCCTATCTTTTTTTTCTTTTTCTTTTCTTTTTCTTTGTTTTTTTTTCCTCTCTTTTTCCTATCTTTTTTTTCTTTTTCTTTTCTTTTTCTTTGTTTTTTTTTCCTCTCTTTTTCCTCTCTTTTTCCTATCTTTTTTTTCTTTTTCTTTGTTTTTTTTTTTTTTTTTTTTTCTTTTTTTGATGGGGGGGGGGGTTCTTCCTCCTTTCTTTTCTTTCTTCTTTCCTTTTCTGTTAAGTTAGTCAAGTTAGTTAAGTTAATCAGTGTCTACTTTTTCGACATCTTAACGTCAAAAAAGGCTCAAACCCCCCAGTTTTTTGCACTTTTGACTTCGAAATGTGCTTCGCGCCACAACGGCGTGCACTTTTTTCGACATCTGAACCTCCAAAAGTGGTCCGAGCATGGTGTGTTTTGTACATTTTGACTTGGAAATGTGCTTCGCGCCACAACGGCGTGCACTTTTTCGACATCTGAACCTCCAAAAATGGTCCGTACATGGTGTGTTTTGTACATTTTGACTTGGAAATGTGCTTCGCGCCACAACGGCGTGCACTTTTTCAACATCTCAACTGCCAAAAGTGGTCCGGAGCTGGTGTGTTTTGTACATTTTGACTTGGAAATGTGCTTCGCGCCACAACGGCGTGCACTTTTTCGACATCGCAACTTCCAAAAGTGGTCCGACGCTGGTGCGCTTTGTACATTTTGACTTGGAAATGTGCTTCGCGCCACAGCAGCGTGCACTTTTTCGACATCGCAACTTCCAAAAGTGGTCCGAGCATGGTGTGTTTTGTACATTTTGACTTGGAAATTAATGTGCTTCGCGCCACAACGGCGTGCAATTGTTCATCTCTCATCTGGCCAGCTCGCTCCGCACCCGCCGCTTTAGCGAGCCTACTTTTGGACCCTCCGGAGCCACAAATCATTGGAAAAACGCAGTGTTTCGCGACGTTCCTACCTTTTCGCGCACCTGCATCTTCTTTCTTCTGATCTTTTCTCTTCTGACTCTTCTCACCTCTGCTTTTCAACTGTCCATATTGTCGGAAGTTTCACTTCTAAACTTCCTTCGGCTAATCATTAGTAATCCCTATCAATGGATTGATGACCAGCTTCCCATATGGACAACTTAGCCAGGTCTTGACCATGACACATAAAGGGTATTCTAATGTATTCCACGGGGTATTCGCCAGCAGAGCGCAGTTCTTCAATATAAATGGTTGCTGCGCACCTGCTTGTGCCATGCAGCTGCATAATCAATGACATATCTGCACCCATCCTCAAGGTCGCCCTGCAGAAGCAGCGATAAGAGAAGGTAACATGAAACAACAATGAAACAACTATGAAACAGTTCAATCATGTTCATTCAGCGTTGGAGATAGATTTGGAAACCACCGAGAAGAGGCAGGCCTCAATAGAAGGCCGTGGTACCTGAAAACCGCCACCAATCCAGCGCAGGCTCATCCACTCCGCCATGGTTGCTAAGTGATTGACCGCTGTGTGGCCTAGTACTGGATTCAAGAAGGTTTTACACTGAAGAATGCATGGGAGAGTCTTGGAAGTGTTCAAAGCCTCCTTTGAATCTGGAACCTAAGTGATCATTGTCTTGACCACGCGAAATTCTAGCCGCATTGAAGCCAAACATCAGGTTTGCGAAGTGGACGATGTTGAGAGCTCTTATGAGACCTTCTGCCAAATATGATGGAATGATGTGGAATGATATGGAATGTGCAGAATGATATGGAATGATACGTTTTTTCCCGCATTGTCGTGGAGTCTTGAGATGGAGCTCCGACAATTGTACGCGCAACCTCTCAGGTTTGTTCACCTGGCCACGCACAAAGCAATGAAGCGACGCACCATGGCACACCTGTAGACTTGAGAGACCGAGCATCAGTTGAAAGATTCCGAAAATGTCGTGGCAGCTGCGCTGCATTACTTTCCATTAGATCTGAACTTCCAAGATCAGAATGAATGTCCGCCATGCACAATAAGATCAATAAGGAACAAAAATCCGTTGCCTAGCTTTGCTCCCAATCTCTTTGGCATAAGATGCAAAGAGATTATCCAAGTCTCCACTCCTTGAGCAAATCTTGGAACTTGGACATTTGGAGGAAATATATGGAAATTCACTCAACATTCTGATGCATTCAGACATTTTGATAATCATTCTGTCTATGTCTTTCTCGATTCTCACAGCACCTCTGTTGTGTTCACACAACCTCTGAGTTCTCCGCGACTCGGCAGCAGGAAGGCGGCCACTGGTCATTGTTTTGCTGTGAAGAATGGCAAAACATTGCGTAGCACAATTGATTTAGGACAAGAATGCACAACAATGTACAACAAAGAATGCTCAAAGAATACTGAAAGAAGTCAGAGATTCGAAATGATTCAAAACAAACGAACGGTCCACAATCGTGTGGAGCCCCCACACCATACACAGACCGTGAAGAACGTGGAGAATCTGGTGCCCAAAATATTTCAAGTCTTGATGCGGTCAAACGCACGCAGGTTGATGTGGTGCCGGTTCAGACTTGGGCATGGCAGGGCTCACTCCTAAACGTTTGACTTGAGGTACAAAGGCATGTTGTATTTATTTTGTGGCATTTTCGGCTGCCCGTGTTTTTGTTGTGGCACTGTGCGACGGTCTTACGCATGGCATACCCTAGACGGGGGGGCTCTGTAACCACTACAATCCATTACAGCATTTACTGTATGCTTTCTGCGTTCCGTTCTGCCTCGTGCGGGAAGTACTGGTGCAAAATGGATGAAAACGAGAAGGAAATGCAAGAATTACATATGGATATTTTGCCATCGCTGAGCACAAACCATATAGCTATGGATTGCTCTGGGTGCTATTCTTTACAAACATCCTTTCGCGAAGACAGAAAGCAGGATCCCCTAAAGCCCTAGAGAACAAACCTGACAAAGTTGTGAGTAGAGCGCAACAAACAAACAATAACAAACACATAGAAAGTGAAGTTTCCCGCGTGGCCAATGAGTGGCCCCTGAACAGAGACTTGAAAATCTTGAAACAGGAACAGCTTCGTCCGTGTTGAAATGTTCTCCCAGGTCCAAAATGTCCGTGAGCCATGCGGGCTCAACGGACTCAGGACTAAGTCGTCATGTGAAATGTACAAAACATGTGCAAACATGTGCAAAAAATTAGAAAACATGTACAAACTCAGTCAAGTCATGTGAGCTCATGTCAAGAATTGTCAAGATATGTCAAGTCTTGTGGACTTCAGTGGACTCAGTGGGCAGTGGGCCAGGCCTGGCTGCGAACATGTCGTCAGAGCTGGGAGCAGGTCTGATGCCTCCGGACATGGCATGATGCCATGGACGCCAAACCTTGGCCTGTGCATTGCCTGTGCACCCTGAAAATACCAAGAAAACACCATCTGAACCCTGTGCACCCTGTGGTCATTGCGAGCGAACGCAATGACATGCAATGACGTGGCGAAGTATGATGCAATTCTATGCAATTGTCACAAATCCCACAGGGTCGTACAAGCATCCTACAAGCATCCTACAATCTCCGTACCCCCACCGACCTTGTCACCGCCACTTTGACTTTGATTCGAGTGACTTCAGCCAAGCTTTCAGCCTTTTGTATCTCCACGCTGCTCAAAGCATCACCATTGGCGAAAGCTCAAGCATTGCCTGCGATTTGCCTCTAAAAATAAGGCAAACACTGAACGATCTACTCACCCTGGAGACTGAAGTCACGGGAACATCAGAACATATCAGAACATATGATGTGCTGTGACTGTTACTTTTGATACGTATTTTTGATGCATCGAAAAGGTCTGCCCTCAATACTCCAAATGCTCACCCTGAGTGATGAGATGTGATAAGTAGCTTTGGCATGTTGCAAGTTTGATCAATGACTTCATTGATGACTTCATCACGTCGTTCTCTCTCCAGCGGAACGGTACAACTCCCCTGCACAGCGCCACATGAACACTTGGTGCCAGAGACCCGTGGCCACGCACATCTCAACCATTTGGCTGAGGGCTTGAGCCACCAGCCTAGTAGTGCCCTAGGTCGCGGCTCGAAAATGCCACCGGCAAAATAACTCAACGACATTACTCCCGTAAGCGACTGAGTGACAGTACTGGGAGCACGTCGCTGTCTGCAAAGGCAGGTACTAAATGGTACTAGTAGTACCATATGTCACAGGATCTGTCCCTCCCATCCGGAAGGAATAGGGATCCAAAACGATGTACAACGCTTGCAAAGTTGAAACATGAGGACCCAATTATAAATTTTGGGATTCTTGTCTACAATGTGTATGTGCATGCTTCTTCATGACGCACACATGTTAGTGCTTATTCCTCTGTCACTGAAAGCTCCATCTGGAAACCCGCTACAATAAGACTAAATTGAGCAGCTATACTAGGAGCATTACTTTGAGTATCGTGAGTATAGCGTTTCAACCAGCGCGCCACCTACCACTAGTCAAATTCGCACAGCGACTACTACCGGCATCTGCCCATACTGACGCGGGTCAAAGTATCGCCGTATAAGACTTCAAATTCGTAGCAAATGTGGCAATTGTGGAAACATACTTTCAGCATCTTTTAGCACAGAGCACGGATAGTTTGAGAGCCGATGCAACCAGATTTATGTCCATTTATAGTGCATCACAAAACTCCTGCCTTCAAGCAGAAATATGAAATGTGAACTATATAGAGATTTCATTTCATTCGTCTTTTCGGCTTCCTGTGTAGATGTGTTTTGATCTGTTTGCGGACAATATCTGATCATTGCCGGGCGTATTCACGCTCAGTTGAAATATGAAGCAACAGAAGGCACATTGATAGATTTCGGCCCTTCATCGATGTCCTGCATGTGCAATGGATATCGGAAATCGATGGAACTGCATGGGGTGATTCTTCAAGAGCCAAAGACACTGTATCAACCTTGGGCAGCGCAAGATGGAAGGTCATCGGCAATTACAGTCAATGACAAGATATGAGAAGTGATCTAGTTGTCCCATGTTGTCCCTTCTCTTTTTAAATCTTGGACAAGTCGCAAAACCAGCCCTTAACACGAAGGGAACGCAAGCAGAAACAACTGTTTTCAAGGGAAAGACAAAAACAACAGAACGAGTGAATGTTTCCCTGCCAGGACCAATGCCCCGAAAAACATGAACGCTTTATGTAATGAGAACAACCAAACACCGTACGAGAAATCGCACAATAGTTAGTGTTCTCAGATTGGTAGGATTGAAATATATATTAAAATCTTGGACGGACCTGCAAATAAGCGGTTTCAAAAACCCTATTGACTTTCCTGTTGACTCTCAAGTCTCTTTCGCGGCTACTTTCGCGGCTTGCGTTTTGGCTTTTGCGAGGGAACCTGCTTTCTTTTCAACTTTCCCGGAACTTTTGCAGCGACTCGTTTCGCCGGGGTTTTCGCTTTCGCGGCAATTGACTTTTGTGGCTACTTTTGTGACCCTTTCGCCACCCCTTCGCGGCCTGCGTTCTGACTTTCACGAACGCAGCAGAGTTAACAATGAAAGGGTTTTTTGAAGCTGCTCAATGCAGCTTCTTGAAGCATCTTTTCAATTCAATCTGCTCCGAATAAAATCTGAATAGCATCTATATAGCTTGATCATGTCTGATCTTTATCTAGTATATCTAGTACATTCTGTCACTGGCCTTTAGGATGCGTGTGTTCCATGTGTTTCTTGAATGTCCCTCTAGTTTCAAGCGACTTGGAGCATTAGATGCAAAAGAATTCCTGCAAATTGAATTCCCAAAAACACACACTGCAAAAGCACCAAAGCACCAAAAGGCTACTCCACACTACTCCACAAGGTTGCAACCGTTGGAACTTGTAACCAGTGCTCCAGATTTGGGCTTGAAGCTATGATATGCTACGGTTAAATGACAGGATTTGACATTTCTCTCCTTCCATTTACTGCGAGTGCTCTTCCCTGGGTGTTTGCTGCTATGTTGGAAACAACCAAAAACATCACAGTACACTTTGCACAACATTGATCGTGACATTCACGAGTCACGAAATGTCACGAAATGTCACGACTCTTTTTTTGTCCCTTTCAGATCTTTCAGGGCCAAAATTGTGGCCGGGTCCACTGGGTCAGGGTTCCCACAGGACACACAGGCGATCGTGGTGACACTTAGAGCGCGTGTGGAAGCTGAGTAATGTATCACATTAAACTCATTAAACCCTTTGAAGTTTCGAACAACATGACAATTTACAAAGCAACTATCTGCGGAAGAAAGTCGTCTTCGATTCCTCTTGGAAATTATTTGTGCTGCGCATGCATTGATGTGCTCTTTCTTGTCATGCAAGGGGAACATCAAGGTTTTCCATGCCTTGCAAACTAATGTCTGGGATTGGGTTGGAAACATGTCGACAAACGACAAGTATGCAAACTCGAGTTATTTTGGGGCGACACGCATCTTCCAGCATTGAACTCTGTCTTATCTGGAAACACGTCGCGAGATTTTTTTCAGATTTCAAGAAACTTGCACCTTTGCGGCAGTGTGCTCCTTGCAATCATCTCATGAAAACATGCATTACTAATTAGATATGATTCTATGATTCGATCCTGTGTTTATGCTGCAGAGGGCCTATACCTACAACATATAGGATCCATTCAGAAAGCTTTCTTTGTGTTTCTGGACTTTGCGTGTTGTGCCTTTCAGACCCCGCACAATGGAGCCCCTGTGGCTGTATTGGTATTCCAGCTGGAGTGAATATTCATGAATATTCACTTTCCCGATCCTCCGCCTTCAAGTTTTCATCGGTCTTGCCAGCACGGGAGTTGTTTGTATCCTGCTTGCGGCTGCTTGCGTTGTGTGCATCTCAAAACTATGAGTGATTGGCTCACCTTAGTTCACCTTGACTCATTTTGACGAACTATCTTGGGCTGAGTGGTTTCGTGTCCAAACTGTTCTCCTTGCGGTTGGTGTTCATAATGTCCACATCATCCGTCTTCGAGTTGGTCTCTCCAGATCTCCATTTGTCGATCACGGTGTACCAGCGATCCATTGGAATGTGGCCTCTGCGGACTCTGTGAAGTAAATTTCGACAAAAAAAAGTGTTCGAAGGAAACTGTACAAGTTGTAAATTGATGTAGACGATAAATCTCACTGTCAAGTTGTCCAGGCATCACTTTGAGCCAGGTGACCGAAATTGTTTTCGGGTCCTCCGAGGCGTGAGCAATTTCATCGAACATATCGTGAATAATCATACTCTTTATGAACTTTATGTGTTCTCTGTTTCTCCCAAATTTTCATTGTACATATTGGGACTATTTGGGATTGCAAAGGCTGTCCTGCTAGCCACAGGACGGACATGAAGAAAACCAACGAGAAAAGAAAGGAGTACCTAAGCATGAAGGGAACAGCGTGTGGAAAATGCTGGAAAGGAAAACTGTCAGCTTGTGACTAAAGAGACTTCATCAAATCCGTGGTCAAAACACAGCAAGACTGTAGACGTTCTACTCGTCTCTTGGATGTTCATATGTCCATTTTGTGCGCAAATAAACATTACATGCGTATCATGTGATATCAAAAGCCCTTGGCTGGCCACTTCGGTCTGAGGCACATGATGGTGACGCAAATCAGAAGAGCCATCTTGATGAAGAAATAGAACCAGCAGATGAACATTGTTGCACCAGCGAGCACCGTGGTTATGGCACCTTCGGGCTAATGTATGTATGCATGTTGTATGGATGGATGGATGGATGGATGGATGCATGCATGTCTCTAACATGTGATAATATATGCAAAATTATGCAAGTGCCCGAGCTCGTAACACAGCTGGGAGAAGAATGCAAGGAATTGAAAGGGCGTGATTTTGCTCACTTGATGTTACTTTCACATGACTTTGCTGAAGACTGCAGCAAAATTACTGAATCAATTTGAATCTACTCAATGGAAAGTACACACATGCAGCATAAAGCTGCACTGAATTGGGGTCTTTAAATAAAGACAGTGGAAAATGACTATTGTTTGCGCACGATGCTTCGTTCAGTGACAAGGCCTGCAAAGATAGTGGAGCCCATGTTGCGGATTGCAAATGTCGCTCTCTCATCACCTGTCACATAACAAACTTAAATTGGACTTTAAGTCATATTCAAACATATATTGAAACATATCATTACATATCAGAACGTTGGTTCCATAGTGCATATGACGGTAGATGTGAATGAATGTGCATCATTATATAATCGTCATGATCCATCTGCGATTATCTGCAATCCAGCGGCGCGTATTGTGGCCGAAATGCTTTCCTTCACAGTACATGTGCGCCAAGTGCACAACGTAATCCACGGAATAGCCAATGACAATGACGCCAGCAATAGCTTCGCCTTGGCAAAGCGCCAAAGCGATTGCAAGGGTAGAGTTCAAGGAGCATTGGCACCCAATTTGCAAGACCTGGACATACCTGGACATACCTGGACCATGTGTTCAAAAAAGATAAAAACGACGAAACAAATAGAACCAAACTGCCAGCGATACTCGCCACGAACAATCTTCCCGAAACTTACACTAATACCTTACTCATACCACTACAGTAATGGTCGAGAACATTCGAGAACTGCCACCTCTTCCTTTACATTGTTTATTTCAAATCACGCACTTTCTTCATGAACTAAGCCTGTGGATCTTGTTTCAGGTTCAAATTTGAAATGATCTTGGAATCCCATTGCGCATGGCTTGCAATGGATACATGTGCCTCTCTAAATGACTTTTGGATGCTGCAGCTTTGCCTGCGCACACTTTGTTTTACATGGAATTGGCAAGCCTCACCCTTGCTACCCCTATCCCTCGATGGCTACAGAAATCCGCACCAGTAACCTGTACCAATACCATGAAGAGTATTTTCGTAAATATGCTCTTTTTTACACTCTGCTCTGCATGCCTTCTTGATCCTTTTTGATCCTTTTTGGTAATGGCATACATTGGCATACAACATTTTATTGGAAGATTTGGAAGTAATCGACTCCGCTAAGCCGCTTAGTGTTTGAATCTCTTGGTTTGTCTCCGATCTTCTGAGCCCTTGGCCAACACCAAGATCCCAATCCATTGCACTCTTGCAAAAGCCCAGCACGCAAAGCACCTCAAGTCCCACTTTGACCATGACCGTCATGACCTTCGAAGTCATTCAAATAACATAAAATAACTTTATTGTATGAAACTTATCTGTTATCATCGTTTATGTTGTATCATGTTGCATCTATACATCTATGCATGTTGTATCTACCATTTTTGTTGAAATCTAACTTGTTTTTCTTGAACCAATGGACGGCGGCATTTGTGTTCTGTTGTGTCTTAAGTTTCAACCCTGCTAAGCCGTAACCCTCAAACCACTGTAGTAGGGATAGGATATTCATTCTCACTTACATCATGTTACATGAGTTGTGTTGCTGCTAGTCTCAGACAGTGCTTTCTGAAGCTGGTTCTTGCTTCGAAGTGAACTTAGCATGCACAAATGCATTGTAAAAACCTCAGGACCAAACCTCAGATATTCTTTGCAAATTCTTTGCAATTTCGTTTCTGTTATTCAACTGTTCTCTGTCTTCTCTGGATCAGTGCCAAGTCCAAACGAGGCGCGATAGCTCCAACACTGAGGACAGCATAGATTGCAACAACCTACAGCAGTACTTCTGAAGTATTCTGATGTTACAAGTTGATTCAAGTTGATCTGAGATGTTGGAAATTCTTGCAAATTCTTGCAAGCCAAGTGCAAACTTCCAGGAAAGGGTGTTAGAGCTGCTGTTGGAGCATCTTTGTAGCAAAGGGCGTTTGGTTTGAATCGCATTAAGGTCTTTGTTCAATTCCATGCCTAGGGGGTTCTTTTCCTGAGTGCGCTGCAATGTTCTGCGTTGAGCACAGAAGGACAACAAATGAGATGGGCATTGCAATCGCCTCCACAAAGTGCGGTCCATGTCTCCAAAACTGAACACATTTGCAAGAGTGAGAGGAAAGAATGTGCGTCGTTGCCCCAGCAGTAGCATTTGAGCTGGATGTGGCAAACCAAGAGAACACAAGAGAACAAACAAAACTTACATAACCAAACAGCAACTGCTGAAAAAAATATTGGCTTTGTACCACTTCTGACTAAGTTCCAGGCAATACCAGAGAACAATCCGTTAATCAGCTCTTCGCCCATGTCATACCTGCAAATCCACTTGAGAAAAGCACGAGCAGGATACTGCTTCACATGATTTTACATGCGGATTGAAAGATGCTGCTTTACATGCAAAAAGTATGCGCCGCAACATGCACGAGGAGAAACTCCCGGACTTTTGCACACAACACACATTGTTAAACACACATATGTTTAACATGTGCTGCCATTTCGGTGTTGTGCCAAACAGCTCGGAGCCTTGAAATGTTGCTGCAGTTTGCCAAGGTGTCTGTGTTTACTCAGCGTGTACTCAGTGTATTCTACACAATTCACACTATTGACGCTATTGATGCTACAGTGCTAGGATCTATTAGGCTTGTCGTGAGAGCGCGTTCTTCCAGTTTAGAGGGACCTACGGTAGCAGTTCGATGCAGTTTGTGGCTGGTCAAAATATGTTCTCAAAAAAGTCATGTCCATGCAGGCCTGACACATAATGAATTTATACCTGGCAAATGGGACAAATATGGACAAATGATTCAAATGATACGTAATGATACAGACATACTAAAAATGATATCTTAAAAAATGTTGGAAGATGTTGGAAGGCAAGAATTCAAACATGGACGGCATCTTCTACAAGCGCCTGCAGCAGCTCTAGTTCGAAAAAGGTGGCACAAGTTGAATGATGAGCGGCGCTCTATTCATCTCTGTTCCAAAGGCGGAGACATCGGAAAACCATTTTTGTGCCGCTTTGGGGTTACATTCTTTGCAAGACCACGGTTCCACATCAGGAGTTGGGACTTGGAATTGCTTGCATATTGCTTGCTAGAGTGCGGCCAGGGAGGATTTTCGTTTGCATTCTAATCATTCTGGAAGCATCTGGAAGCGACTTCTGGAAGCTACATAGCAACATGTCTGGATTTTCTTTTGACGCAAGGAGTTCTTCCCGCCCGTGAGTTGAAAAAACAAACTACAAATAACTACAATGATCATACTATGATCATGCTATGTGTCTTCTATGTGTCTTCTATGTGTCTTCTATGATCTTCTATGTGGCTGCTGCGCATGCGCCTCTGAAACTCGCCGTTGCCGTGGAATTTTACGCTCTGCAAGCTACCAGGGAGCGCTCCTGTCGTCTTTGTCATCTTTGGCATGCTCCGATATGATATTTCCGATTATTTCATATATTTTCATATTATTTCCGCTGTAAGGAATGCAACTGCCGCAGCGTCCTCGTTCTGAATCTATCCATTTCCTGATGTGATCCCGAATTGCCGTACCTGTGGGGAACAGGGAGTCACAGCAGTCGACTGTGCAATGCGATGTGATGCGGCTGTGTGAATCTGTGCCACGTGGCTTTGCCATGCGATTGTGCCATGCTGTGCCTATGGAGAATGGCAGTCGCTTCTTCATGACGCTGCGGAAGTGGATGGCCACGTACTTCAACTCGCCACCAACAAAGCCGATGTCCTCCAAAAAGGTGACATCAATTGACATCAATGATCTTCATGAATCTTCATATGTCATCATGCAAGGTCTTTCAACGTGATATGCGTGATGTTCGATGATGTTACCATGTCCACGAAACACAATGCTAGTTAGTCGCTACGGATGAAAACGGCCTTCTGATAGTTCACAGCATTTCCGATGACATCTCCGTAGTAATCACCTCACAAAAACTCACAAACACCCTCACAATCAAAGCTGAAAAATGAATGTGTAAAACATTGTAAAACATTGTAAAACATCCTGAAGTTGCAAACATTGATAAGATTTGATAAGTAGATGTCCAATCCCAGAGGGCCATGCTGAATGTTCTAGGATGTTCAAAAGATTCTTAAACAGAAAACCAGAAAACGTGCATCCAAGCAAACTGAAGTGCCCACCAGGGAAGCGCACCAAAAAACAATCAATGCACGTCAATCGAATCAATGCAAGGCCACTATCGACTATGGATAATATCATATCATAACGTACCATAACATATCATGACATATTACAGATTATAAGCCAGTGTAAAATAGTGTAAACATACTGTACGTAGTCTGATTGTACAATAGATGCAACGAATGACACTCAGCAATGAGTTGCGAGCCTTTGTTTGCAGTTCTGCGGAATTCCTCCAGCTGCGTTGTGAAGTTGCTGCCCACGGGCAATGGTCCACCCAACCACTGCTGGAAATCTTCCAAAAAGCAAGCGCTTGTCCTCAAGCAAACAGAAAATAACAGAAACAAAAGACTCCGATAGATACGTCTCATCATCAAGCCGCCATAGCCATTGCACAGCCATTGCAGCATTGCAGGGCCACCCGACAGCTATTGCGAATCGGCGTCTTAAGTTTCACCAAAATCAGTCCTTTCCGTCGTCTGCATGACGAAACTATCGTAGCCCTCATTATCACAGCCCTGGCCAAACACTGCAGCATGCCAAACTCCAAATGGAACATGAAGCAAGCACGTGCAAACACCAAATTCAAACCAAACATGTTGCTCTTTTGCCCACGGTTTGCTCTTTTTGCATCTTTCGAGCACCACTCCGCACCTCCATTTCGCACTTGATGTCTTTCACTTTGGAGCATATGCTGAGCAAGCCAGCCTGGGCCTGGAGAGGAGCAAACAGCGAATCGCCCAAACCAACCTTTTGAGCAATAGAAAAATGTAGGGAACAAAATCAAATAAACTTCATACAATTTTCGCATGATTTCACGTGCATTATGAACGATTGATATACTCACCAGTTCAACATACATCCTGGACGATCCAAGCATTTGGCTTGACTGCAAGAAACTGCGGAATGCCATGCAAGCCTCACTAGTTGTGAGATCAAAGCCGTTGTCAAAGATAGGCTTCCCAATGTAGGCTCCTGGAGGTAATGGATGAAAATGGCTCAAGAATGGCTCAAGAATGGCTCAAGAATGGCTCAAAAGACTTTCAAAATTCGTCAAAGTCCAAACTCCTGAGACAGGACGTAAAGAGATATTCACAAGAGATGTAAAAAGGCTATTCAAATGCCAGTTAGCTATACAGGCTATACATGCACAGGTAGCAGGGTCAGGAAGGGCACAGCATTTGCAGACAGTCAAGTGTACTTTGTTTCACCTGGAGCATAATTCCAAGAAATTTGGGATGACAGCGTGACAAATGTGACATTACCATGACCGCTACGATGCATTTCTTTGTTTGAAGCAAGCGCCTGGATTATAGACATCGATGCCAGATCGATCCAGCCCAGCGATCCCGAAGAAAATCGTAATCACCTGGTCAAAACTAGGATATGTTTGCGAAATTGCTCCTGGGTGTCAAACATACGCTCCTCCCCATTCCACTTTTAGGGGGACATGTGTAGAGTGCCGAAAGTGCCTGAGGCAGGTTTGTTTCATGGCAGCATTGACATGGATTATTTTGTCTACATAGTGACAAAAAGTGCCCCAAAATCCCATTTTCAATCTACACAAGTTCTTCCATGACTGATGACCTCCTCTACTCTTCCACCCCTTCCAGAGTCCTGTTGTCTAGTTTGTTCATCACTTCACATACTTTGGCATACACAAGGTAAAATCAAATAAATGCTAAACGTCAATGGCACGCCCTGCCCCTTCAAGTGAAGATTTCCTTCCCAAAAAATGAGTATGAGGCACAGTAGACCGCTCGTGAGTGGGAACACCCAAAACTCAGGGAGCTGGCGCTACTGTTCATGATGAAAGAAAATTGGTTGCACACGGCCGTGCATTTGTGATATCTGTGATGCCACATCTGTTACCTATGATGTTCCGCCAAGGCGCTGCATAGTTCTCGAATGCTGGAGTGTAAAAACTGTCGGCCATAAACTCTTGGAGGCTGAGGAGCATGTGATTGCCTGAAAAAAATATTCAAGAACATTTGTTGAAATTGACTGAACGAACGAATGCACATTTTGCGGGTATATCAGGGCATATGTTTTTTCGCATGTTCACCCACAAACATGTGTTGCAAACGCTTCACGCCAAACACGTCGGCCTGGAAACCAAACCTCTTCTGAACGCGGCGGGGTCAATTGCGAGGCAAAAATGACGCCTGTGTGGCATTCGGTGTCGCATTTCATGTAAAATCAAAAGAACGACCTAAAAAGGCAAACCCAAACATCATTGCTTCCAAGTGGGCAAACACTTTCACATGTTGGCAAACCCCCAACCAAGCACATTTACAGCCTTTGCAAGTTGCAATACCTGTTTGTGTCCGAACCATTCATTTTTTTGCAGAACGTTGAACCATGACTTTGCAGTAGTGGTATGTAGGCACCGCACTTGGAAAACATGTGTTGCAAACAATGGACACTGCGAGAATGAATTTACTTTCTTCGAGCAACCCCCACCCTGACACTGGAGTTCGCGTTTGATTCCCGCAGTGCCCACTGAGAACTGGGGTTCGCGGTTCAGGCCCGGCAGTGCCCACTGAAATCTGGTGCCCGCAGTTGAAGTCGTGAGATCTGGCACTCCCGGTCGAGGTCCGGCACTGCCCACTGACATCCAGAACTCGCAGTGGAGACCCGAGGCTGCCGGAGGAGAAGGAGAAGGAGAAGGGCGAGCAGGAGGAGGAGGAGGAGGAAGAGGAGGAGGAGAAAACAACTAGGACCAGGATAAAGTCTAGAGACCCTCACCTGGCAGGTGGGGAAAAAGGAAAAACACAGTATGGTTGGAACAAACACAACCCAAAAATACACACAAACGAATTAACTCGAACCAAACGGCACCAAAAAAACATGAGACCCAATATATAATAGATCTACTTGATTTAAAAGAGCCATCTTAATTTGAACATGTATCGGTATTTGTTCAACTCCTGGCCAGAGGAAGTTTAGAAGTGAAACTTCCGAGGCATCAATTTTGTGACAGCAGGGAAGCAGAGAAAGTAGAAAGGCGAAGGGGGAAGAAGTCTGACAAGTAGGGAAACGAGGAAAGTGGAAAAGTGACGAATAGAGAAGTCTGAAATGTATGGAAGTTGAAATGTAGGGAAGTGTGAAAGGTAGGCGCATGTAGAGAGTAGGGAAGAGAAGAGTAGAGTAGAGAAGCACAAGAGGTAGAAGAGAAAGAAGCCAGAGAAGTGAAGAGAGAAGAAGTGAATAGAGTGAAGAGAGAAGAGTAGAGAAGTTCAGACAAAAAGAATTGAAGGGAGTCGGAGGAAAGAAGTGGACAGAGAAGAGAAGTGGAGAGAGAAGAGAAATGAATAGAAGTGGAGACATACAGAAGTGGAAAGCGTAGAGAAGTGAAGGTAAGACGTGGCGAGAGTAGAGTGGAGAGAGTACAGAAGTGGCAAGAGCATAGAGAAGTCAAAAAGACTCGAGATGTGAGGACGGACGCGGCGTTCGCCCGGGCACGTCCTCCATTAGAGTTGAAATGAATTGAGTTTGTGCTGCTCGCGCAGCACCACTGTGTTCTGCATTTTGTGCACCGGGGTTGCAGATCGCATTGGAATGGTGGCGTCCATGTTCTTGCTTGCTCCGCTGGCTCAGCGCAGTCAGCTTGCTCAAGGTGACAGTTGACGGCTAGGAGCCGCGCGATAAGCTGTTTTGTCCGTCCCGGCGTCAATGGGGAACCTGGTTGGCGCGACGGGTGCGGCTTGCGCTGGGAGTGTGTTGGACCCGTCCTCATGGACAGCAAGCATGAATCACTCAATCATCATGGCCTTAGCCTACGAGCAGCAGCTCGTGCATCAATGGCACAAGCAGGCGACCCGTCTGCTAGAGACTAGAACGAGACTTCTTCCCTGGAATCTTTTTAACGCATTGGAGAACTCAAAAGTATGAGAAGGGGACTTGTCCTCGTAGGGGCAAATGGTTCGTAGGGGCAAATGGTTCGGCGCTGCAAGTGTTCTGGGGGAAATAGGCTGCAATGTTCCCGGATAGGAAGCATATGTTCAAATTCAAGTTTTCGCCTAAACATCTTCGACATGCGACGTTGGAAAAGGAGAGAGCCACAGCACAATCTGACGGTTGTGAAGCGCCAATTACCCAATTGATTTAAAAACGCCAAAGTCACTGAGAGACTGGCTCTTCAGGATGAAACCCGGCGTTGCAGGTGCAGCGGCATCCATCAAGATCAGCTGCATCGCACCGTGTCCAGTAGATTGTAACCGCCCGGAAAAATGTAAGATGTGGAAGCAAAGATCAAGCAGTAAAGGCATGCTGACTGGCATTTTCCTGGCATTCAGACAGCGCTGGCAGGTAAGCGTCATTCTCCGATACGTTTACAGCCGGCCCGCAGCTCCAGTAATTACCGGTGGGGCATGAAGCTAGGCGACATCAAAGGTGCCTTTCTGGAGCCAATGCCAATGGCCATAGACCAATATATGCCGAGTTGCCACCGGGGGGTGTCCGGGTCTCCCCAGGGATCTTTGGCCCAAACCACTGGAAACACATGTGGGCAAGTGGTCACTGGAATGTGGGGTTCGACCGTGGCGCAGCAATTCAGCATCTGAAACAGATCACTTCCTTGGGCTTCAGCTCATAGAGCTTGTTGATCACCAATTCAATCCAATTCATGCTTGGCATTCAAACCCATGGTCACCGAGAAAATGCCGGTGCTAATGATAGCAAAGCTAAGTGCATAGATCTGACGGCCCTTCATCGACAGAAAGCTCATTGCCACCAAAAGGAAAGCATTATGGTCGATGGCTGGGTTTTCTTGCAACCGGTCTGCGACATTAGAATGTGAGGATGCCCATCACAAGGCCCCATTGATCGCTCGAAGTGCTGCGGCTGCGTCAGGCGTGGCTACTTTCCAAGGTGTGCAAGCTCTATCTCGGGAGATATTGGCTGGATGCGCTTAGCGTATTCAGTGCTGGAGGGTTATCTCTTGGAGATGGGATGCTGCTCATACATTAGGTGAAGAGCCCCCCTTTGCCCTTTCGGCCGCTTCCGGAAAGGAAAAACCTGTGGACGGGCGCTGACGCAGAATCATGCTGACCACGCAATATCTAAGGTTTTTTCTAAGCACTCTCAAGCAAATCTATGCCAAAGAGTTGGGATGCACCCCTGCATGCATTGGCTGGATGCTGCATCAATTCCCAAGGTGTACCCGCCATGGGAAGGCAATTTCGAAGCCTTGCTCCTTGGGCTTGCCAGCAGATGAGCAATTGGTTCCGGACAGAAAACGTGAGGAGACAGACAGGCGTAGAGAGATGGGTATCCAGCAGTTCGCCAGCTGAACAAAACATTTCCAGATAAGGGGCCTGAACTGAAAAAAGCCCCGAAGTTTTGCACGCGCATAGTCGTGTTTGAATCTCTGCGCATGCTTGATTTCATCCATCTTGACCACGCGCACGATAAAGCGCTGGCCTGCCTAGATGATGTACAATTCATTCTCTGCCCAAAACCTTTCATCCCTCTCCTTGTTTAAGTGAGCTGGAGAGCCTCCCTGAAATATCATCTGGGTAAATATAGTATTATATGCCCTTAAGATCCTTAAGCTTGGACGTGGCAGTAACACCGGCATAGCACTATCCAGGCCAGAGCCGTGCCGTCACAACCAGAAGCTTGTCTTTCGAGTCGAATCCAATGCTGGCAGCTATGACTGACGCGAGCAAAAGGCGGCGCGATGAGGATCCCATGATGTTCTCATGTCAAAGCAAACCGTCTTTCGAGATGGAATACCCTGACGCAGGAGGACACTGATTGTGCTGCCCAAGGGCGCCTTCTCCGTGGATGAGTGGGGCGATGCCGTGTAAGACCTCGCATGAGATTGCAACGGGCCCTGCGTACAGCACCTATGTTCAGTGGATTGCGCAGGATGGAAAGGGCACGAGGACAAAGCCGGACGATTTCCGCAACTGTCTCATCCATGGCTCCTGTGTATAAAGAAGTAGCTTCCTCTCCGTGCGATTTCGAGTTTGGGTAGGGGTTACGAAGCAGCGCCATGCATCTGTCCAGCAGGGAAACAAGTAGTTCCAGGTCGGGCACGCCGCAGCCAGCTTCCGTGCTGAGGAGTGCAAAACAGGAGCTGGCTTTGGAGAAGCGGAGGTAAGCTTTGAGGCTGGTAATGGGCTGAGTCGGCAACTATGAGTCTGCGCCTAAGAAAGGGCTGAATCGGCCACTAAGGAAGGGCTGAGTTGGGTGGGCAACTAAGAAAAGATTAAGTGAGCAAGTAAGAAAGAGTTGAGAAGGCAACTACGATGAACGGATAAGCAGGCCGTCTGACATATATATATAATCTCCGTGTGGTGCCAGGGTGTAGCGTGGAACCCCTAAAAAAATATAATTAATGCAGGGGCCTAAGAACAAAATGTCAATAAAAGGATAGGGCATAAGGTAAGATAGGATAATCCAAGCAAAACACACTGGACAAACACAAAGAGAATATGGTGTCGCCCCCCCCCCCACCTGGCAAAAAAAAATGCTGGGGTCCGACCTCATTTTATTTCAGATTTGCTCGATCTTTTTTTTAAGGGGCCCAGCCCCCTCATTCTCTTGGGGTACACCATAGGAGGATGGCAATATATTCTATATAATAATATATAATACATTATGAGTTGTTGGAGGCTGGAGAACAATAACTAGGGTTTAGTTTAGCTGTCTTATCAGGTCCTCATTGATGTAGACGACACATGACGACACCATGCAGAGGGTAGCAGCACGTATATCACCTCTGCCGCAAAAGTTAAAGAGCGCAACAAGAACGTTATTGCCCCCCACCCACCCCGAACCCCCGCCACCAAAACGCGCAGACGCCAGTCATAGCTGTTGACTCGGGTAGTTGCTGACTGGGACTTTCTTGGTTGCTGAGTCGGACGTTCTTAGTTGCTGACTCAGTCAATGTTCCTTCGAGCCTCGTGGATCTACCCAAAAGCTTCTCTTCTAAACTTCCTTTGATCATCAGTATACAGTATACATATCATATACGCATACTACATTATCACATATTATATACATACATAAACTCATTCATCTACCCACGCACAAACACTAAACAAACCCATCCTGCTCAGCATTTGCAGTTTTGCTTTTGAACCTTGATCCCCTGATGCTGTGTTTCCTGCTGTGTTTTGAAATGTTTTGAATCTATCCCAGGCTTGTCCCAGCTGTTTGTGCCCTGGCCTTGCACAGCTACACCAAGCATGATCAAGAAGAAGCCAAGAGCATAGATCCGTACTGAACCCACCTTCTTCGACATGACCTTGGAGAACCAAACGATCCGAAACAGCGGAACATAATAACATATCATAAAATCAGAGCGAGCCTCACAGGAACTGAGAGATGTAGTTGGGGAAGAATGCGCAGGGATGTTGTAGGTATGATGCAAAGGCCCAATGAACCTTCATCTAGCACTTGCCACTCCAAACAGAACAGGCAGCATCTGACTGGAATCGACTAGAGAATTCTAAGCGTGTCGGTTCCCCCAACAGTGACTACTCTCACCTTACATGGCTTACTTAGTAACTTATAGTAACTTAAGCACTTCCTTCTTTATCCTTCTTTACATGGCTAAGAGCAGCACCATCCCCAAAGTACACACTCTTAAGCCTTGAGACAAATGGAGACAAAATCAGACAAGTATCTGGTATGTAAACCCTCTCAAAGAATATCTCCACCAAGCCTTGCGATTCCTGCGAAAGCTGACAAGGTTAGCGGAAGATCGAGAAAAGATCGCTGGCTGATAGCCATATAGGCCTTACACAGGTTTCAAACAATATATTTCTATAATTTTCTATGTATTTCTATATATTTCTACCTTTTTCTGAGGAAAATTACTTCGGCCGAATATCACAAACAATTCACAAGCTATCACAAAAGATCACAAAACACCACAAAATATCACAAAACATCACAACCATCGCAAACCATCACAAAACATCACAAACTATCGCAAACTATCACAAAACATCACAAACTATCGCAAACTATCACAAAACATCACAAACTGTCGCAAACTATCACAAAACATCACAAAATATCACCAAACATCACAAAACATCACAAAACATCACAACATATCGCAAAACATCACAAACTATCGCAAACTATCACAAAACATCACAAAACATCAGAAATATCACAAATACAAAGTCGAAAATAACCCGACACCTGTCATGTGCCGCCATCGCACCCGCCTTGATGTCCAGCTTCTCTCCCTCTGGAGCAACAGCAAGTTCTCGCTGTCCGAAGCTGGGACAGCAGCACCGCTTCGATTGCAAGCGCCGATGCCAAAAGAGCAAAACAGGTGGGAAGTAGGTCAACGTCAACACCTCAGCAATCTGATGCAATCTCATTCAAACACATTCCAAAACGCTGAAGTTTGTTAAAGCACCTGAAGTGATTCTTAAAGATTCTTAAAGTATGTATGTTGAACATTGTTGAACTATGTTGAATTATCGAATGATGATCTAAGTCTCTTTGAAGCTCTGCTTTGTGAAATGCATGTCGGAAAATCTGAGCAGATCGCATAGAGTGTAACGATGCAAGCGGCTGCCTTTGAGGTGCAGGATCACAAGACGGGCAAAATCAAGCCCCGTACTGCAACATACTGCAGCATGTCTTGCAACATCTTGCAACATGTTCCCTCATTCCAAACGAAGTCACTGGAAGGATACGGTAGCAGAAATGCGATGACATGCAGAAATTCATTGAGAAACTGCTACATGAAGTCATGGAATTGTTGGGCTTCAACTCAGTCTGCTTGCATCAAGGTTGCATACCACCCACATGTTCGCATTGGCATGCACTTTGACACCTGAGTCGCATTGAGTCGCCCCAGGGCTGTTATTTGCAGGTAACTGAAAACGACTTACTGATCCAAACTTTGGATCACCGAAGCACACTGGGTACTCCAGTCGTTTAAATCCATTTAAATTCGCTCTTACCCACACCTCGCCGCCAAGAAAATCAATCCACACTTGGGTTGCTGCATAAGATCAACAAAACGCACTGAGCCATACTATGCCATACTTACATAGATCATCACTAGGGCAGTAGATACCCTTTGCGGCCATTTGCTATCAAAGCATATGAGGCAGGCCAGAGCTGTACTGTGAAACTGAACAGTTGGATTTTTGAAAGTGACCGGTTGTATATTGACACTGGCAGTGCGAAACTCTCACGTTGTATGTCGAAACGAGACGGTTGGACTATGCTGGTTTTTTGAAATCGACCATTGTCTTTTGAAAGTCTGAAGTTGTCTTGTGAAAGTGACAAGGCTGTTCGTGGATACTTCTCTATTGGACATGTAAACCCTGCTATAAACCCTAATGGCCGTATTGTTTTGTTCCGTGGGGGTGGGAGATGTATTTCCTAATAGTATTTGCAGAAGAGTAGTGGTGCAGTATGACGAAACCAGTTGCGCAAAAGAAAGAGACTACTTGCACAATCTCAAATACAAACCTAATTCCAAGAAACTAGTTTCCAAATTCAAATCCTATGAATGCTATTGTGCAAGCGCAAACATGCAAGCCTAGCTAGTTGTGCAACACAACCAAACAGTTGCACAAGCAGAGTTGTGCAATCCAGAGCAGTTGCGTAAGAGGACTTTGTTCGGCCTGACTTTGTCCAGAAATATCAAATATCAGTATATCATGATCTTGACCGACCCTTGATTGGAAATGGAGAAATGAATTGGTCTCGAGATTCTTTTAAAGTATATATCCTGGTTGAGATAATGCCTCTTGCTACTGCTTCCAGCAACCCCACAAAATTGGCGTGCAACAGTGTGGCAACAGAGGCAATCAGCTGATTGCTGAATTGGTTCACGTTTTCGATGTGCCTGATGGGGCACCTGAAATATCATATGTAAAATTGTGCAAAATTATGCAAATGCAGTCAAAATGCGGAGCATGACAGAAATGCCAAGGCTGTTGTAAAGGAAGTGTTGAAGATAGCCACACCGGCACGCTGGAAGGTCAATGATAGAGCTTTGACCTCCTCCCAAGTGAAAAAGCATGACAGCCCATGACAAAGCAAAGCAAGTCATGGCCTTTTGATGACCACACTGCTACCATTTTACTCTTGGGATGCCGACAAAAAAATACAACGAAATATCATGGATTTATGTCGATTTAGAATGATTTACAATGATTTACTCCGGGGTGAAAGTACCAGGCGCAGAATACACTAGTTGCGCCATGTACTTTGGCCCCCCGGGGGCCCAACATACATGGCGCAACTCGCATTAATATAGCGTGCGTACCTGAGCCATCTTTTTCCCACGCAAAACCGCGAATACATATTTAGTATTCGGCGAACATGGCTGAATCTGTGGAGTTTTCGCGACCGGGGTGTGTGCAGTTTGGTTATGCTTGCCACTGCCATAGATGGCGCAACTCCAGAAGCACACGGGGAACCTCCCCATATTGCAGCCAGATAGATGGCGCAACTCACATGTCACTGGTGTATTCATGTGAGCGTTCTCTCCCACAAAAATCATGCGCATGTTCCACCAGATTGAATGCACAGTAGATGGCGCAACTGGGCCACAAGAACCGCCTGTGTGATGCTTGGAGCTGCGCCAGCTTTGGCAATAAGGATAAGCATAACCAAATTGCAGGTACCCGGTTGCGAAAATTCCACAGATCATGCAACACAGACGAATACATATTTAGTTTTCGGTCAAAGATGTTAAATCTGTGGAATTCAATACTTTCAAGTGCACGAAGCGTACTACTGCTGCATATGGTACTGTACAGTATATGGATCCGTGAATGGATGACAGAACCAACAGACTGCCGGGGAAAAGGAAGGAAAACATGGCGCGGAGTCTACTCCACAAATTTCATCCAATTTCAGCCACATCATTTGCACATTTATGTGGAATCCGGCATAAGTAGATGGCGCAACACCAGCGGGTTGCGCCATCTACTTTCACTGGGGCAGATTCGGTTATTTTCTCAGATTTCGTCTGTTCCAAATACCGGTGTCTGCGCCATCTATCAAGTGGCCCTGAAAACTGTTTTCTGCGCCTGGTACTTTCACCCCGGTGTAGATACAGTGCCTTTTCTTTGTCCGGTTGGCAGAAGTATTTTGGATTTCTTGGAGTCCTTCCGATCAGATCGGATAAGGCTCACTGGTTCCCAAAGCCCACACGCTTTTGACATCTTTTGACCGCTCTTCACTTGCATCTCTCAACATCTCTCAACCATTCTCTGCCCCGACCAACGGCGATCCTGTTCTTCGGTTAGTCTTCCTCCACGAGAGAATGGAAACTCTGCCTACAGAGCGCAGACTCTCATCAAAACGTTTGACATGCTTGGAATGGTTGATCACGCAAAAGTGCGAGCATGGACAATAAACACAAGCAGTCTATCAAATCTTTCAAGATGAACATATATGAGTCATATGAATCTTCATATGTCCAGGATCGTCCACGCTCTTTTGAGTTCAGGGTGCCTTGACAATGTGGCAAAAAGTGTCCTTGAAGACAAAGATGTCATCGGCACCAATGCCAAGAACCAGATAAATCACAAGGATGTGCAAAAATTCGAAGTAGAGAATTCGAAACACTCCTGGCACGAAGCCAATGGAAACAATGGAAACTTGAGGAATCCGAGAAGCGTTGCAAAATGTTGCAAACACATCCAGCAGACAAACTGTTCATATTATACATTGTTATACCGTATACATTTTACACCAGTTCAGCACCTTTCCCTGCGCTCCTTGATAGAAGAGAGCAGCGATTGGCAGTGTCATAATCTGAGTAATACTGCCACAAAGATAAGTACAGCAATCAGTTTGAACATCCGTGAGCATCTTTGAACACCTTAATCTTTGAACATTTTGAACCTGTAGAATTTGCACAGAATTCAAATGACTTCGCAGCAAGCCTCCCTTAACACTTGATATCACTTGATCCGAGGACATGACCATCATGAACATGGCAGCAGCTGCCATGATGCTGGACTTTGTATGGATGTACCTGGAAGCACTGCACTGAGAGTCACTGACCTGCACTAACAAGCTTTGATGATTTGAGTATTTTGAGTGTCCTTTGAGTGTCCTGCCCCTTCTTCAGCTAGCAAACTATCAGCTGCTTTAAACGTTTTAAGCTGTTCACTATTGTTCACTTCTATGCTGATCTAAACTGATCAAAGCTGTATGCTGGGACCTGCTAGGGGCCTGGCGCGACACCAAACACCAAGATCACGGAGATGAAGGAAAGCATGAAGTCAGGCGTGGCCATCTTTTGAATCTCGTTGATGCCAGTGTAAGAAAGCCGAACTCGCATGTTGCCTTACACATCTGAACAACGCATCTTACACACATTTTGGCCCAGGGTGAGGTTGTTCATGTTTGTTTCGCATTCCGTCACGAAGGGGACACAGCAGGTGTGACCGAGAGGCGAAACGAGACTGAAGGCAACTGAATTGGATTTTGGGCTATAGTTGTTGCTTGTGCCACTCATGATCACTGGGGCTAGTGGGAGCTGACTGGTGCCTATTTCGTGGATGATTCTTTCTCCATCGTCGACTTTTCCGATGTCAGTCACACTGAACCTGCAACATCTTTAAGCGACTCAAAACAACTCAAAACATCTCAAGACTAAGTGCATTTCGGACGCCAAGAAACCATTTGGCACAAAACGGTCCTCTTCACCTTGAAAAGCCGACTTCAAGAAGGCGTAGGATAAGCCTAGTTTTTCGAAGACTGGGTTCATCACACCTTCTGCTTTGTCAGGCTTCACCTGAATGCTCAAATCCGCCAACATGAAAAACATGAAAACATCTATGGAAATGTTGGAAATGTTGGAAATGCTAGGAGCTGCTGGTACTTGGGCAAAATGTGTCCAACTGCACTATGTGTTAATGAGAATGCACCAAGATACACAATGCACCAAGCTTTGTCTCTGAATGTCTCTGAGCTCATGACTTTGAATTGCAAGTAAGTTTGGCTGTAGACCGATACTTTGGTCTCTGGGAAGCTGGGATCAACAAACCTCGTATCAAATAAAAAATCATCGAACACATGCATTTTGTGGAACTCAAATCGAGCAGCTCACAGGATTTTGCTGAACTCGGATGAACTCGGAAGTTTTATGCACAAAAGAATTTCATTTTGCTGCCAAGTTTCCGCGCATAAAGAGACCCTGCCCCCTGAAGTACAGAAAGAAATCACTGACACCAACATCCAGGACAAAAACATGAAGGCAAGAAATTCAGATTTCATCATGAGCTTCAAATTGTTTGTAAAGATATATTGAATTGAAATAACATATACGTATATATATATATATATAAATGATTACAAATGATTACAAATGATTACAAATGATTACAAATGTACACATATTGCAATTGTTTGAAATGGTACGAACTGAACGTGTTCAAGAACAATCAGGTTCATGTCAATGTGACACTTTTATACACTTTTACTCTCCCTTCTCGTTCTTCTCGTTGGCCTTCGCCACCATGTCGGTGTGCATGGCGTTGACAACTTCATCGACGGCGCTCTGCGTCAACTCTTGGCAGCTCCAATCGTAGCTGCTCAAGCTGCGGGCTGCTGGAATCGACTGCAGCGCTGGGTTCGAAGCTGTGCCGTAAAAAAGGGCCAAGACTGAGACCGTTTGACTCACTTCCTGGCACGTGGCATCACGTGGCATCACGTGACATCGACGTGGCATCACGTGGCATGCGCTTCGTGAAAGTCCAAAGGAATCAGGGACGTGCCAAATGGCGCCAACTGAGAAAAATCTAAGCTGGAAGAAGTACCAATGCGAAATTGGCTCTGGGAGTCTGTGTAACATTGAAGCGGCAAACAAATACACTGACATTTTGGATGACATTGTCTAAGTCAAAACATGCAACCATGGCCTCTATGTTGGTGTTGTTCACCACCATTGTCCTCTGCAATTCGCAAGCGTGGAAAGCACACCATCTGTCAAAATCATTGCAGTTCAACTATGACAACATCATCTGCTACATATGATAGATCAATCATCGATATCTTCAAATGATTGTGCCTGTTAGTGAGGGATCAAAATCTAGGATTTCCTTATTTGGGGAATCGAAGCTGATAGAAACATATTAGAACTAGAAAACTACTGTATACATCTGTATACATCTGTATACATATGTATACATCTGTATACTGTATATTTCAGTATATGATAGTATATGTTACATCTGTAGAGGGTGCATGATCTGCATCGGCCGTCCTCTCCAACTCACAAATGTTCTTGAGTCTATCTTGGGTCAACACGCTCTCAGTGCCCATGCCGCTCTTGTAGAAGAAAAATACCCTGCAGAAAATGTGAAGTGTTGCCATGACCCGCTTGTAATGTGCCATGCCATGCCCATTAATATACTTTTCACATATTTTCACATCTTTCCACTTGATTCTCTTGGCACGTCAGCGATGTGACGAGAGTCTTTTCTGACCTTTTCCCATTCTGATGCCGTCACGGCTATCAATCACAGCTATCACTTCTATCACAGCAAGCTGTCACGCCTTTCTGTCTCGAGGTCGGATTCGTCCTCCTCCTGTAGCTGTCCCGCAGTTGCCTGGCGGGCTCACCAATCTGCGCAAGGCTCTGTCTATAGCTATGGCATGCTATGACAGCCAGCAACAGCCTGAGGGGATCGACTGAGAAACAAAATGAGACAAATGAATATGAATATAGTTGTGATATGTTGTGATATGAATGCTGTGAAACAGTATGAGAGTTATGATAGAATGATAAACGAATAGAAATTATGGACTTTCTGAAATATGGTGAATGGCGATGTGATACAAAATGAAATCAGAAATGATCAGAAATGTACGATGGTTGCTCTGCATTGGTTTTCCCTTTCACAGTCCTCTTCTCCGGCAGCCAAAAAGGCACGTCGATGCTGCGTCATCTCACCATCCAAGATCATCCAAACGTCATCCTGCCCAGAAAGTCTACTGAAACCATCCGAAAGCCACAGGCCAAGCCGCCCAAGCCCATCCAAGCTCTCTGACTTTCAAGATGGAACATCATGGAATGTGGCCTATATGTGGCCTACGTGTCTTCTCATGCCTTTGACTGGAAACTTCCCCATTGTTTGGGGCTGCAAGGTAAACTTCTCTGGCAGCATGTTGGATCAATTTGATCATTTTATGCATGGCAATGTTTGTCAAACATAAAAAACACACTGCTTTGCTCTACGCACAGTCTGCTAGAATATACATGGAGGCATGTATGCAGATCATTGCAGGCTCATGCAGGCTCTGCTTTTTTGTGCCCAGGTTGCAAGCTGTCCGCAAGCTGCAGAAGCTTCGGCACCCCGAGTTTGACGAATGTGAATGGCCAAGGATGGAATTACTTCATTGATTCTTTGACGGAAATTCTGAATGGTTTGTTCATCTGATGCAAAAAAGTCATCTTGTGGATTTTGATTGTATGGGATCAGGTTGACAGACAGGAAAATTGCAGGATCATCGTATAGCGGCCTCAGAAATTCTGCCAGCTCGCAAGCATGCTGAGCAGTGTCGTTCACACCAGCGATCATGACAACGGCTACCATGAAGCGGTCAGGACCGTTTCCAGATCTCAGCAACTGGGCAAACGCATTTCTTAATTCCACCATCGAGTATCGAGATGTTGGCACGAGCTGACGTCTCAAAAAGTCGCTTGCAGAATGAACAGACCATACGAGGCCACACCTAAGACCTTCCAACTCAAGGATTTGAGCTGGCGAGGGTGCTACCGTTGAGATCTGTATCCGTTTCCGTGCAAAGCCCATGCGGTGCAAATCACTCAAGGTCTCTACAGCCAGTTTGACATTTTCCAGATTTGCCAAAGGTTCTCCCATTCCCATGAAGACAACCTTTAGGACTTTGGGCAAACCAAGTTCATTTGCTAGACGTCGGCCATGCACCACTTGAGCGATCATCTCCTCGGCCTCCAGATTTCGTAGAAGACCCATGTGCCCTGTGCGGCAAAAGCGACAGCCCTGAGCACAGCCAGCCAACTTGCGACGAAATACAAATTGTCGTACACATTGTGCTGGTTTTGCTGGTTTTTGTATTTAGCCATGTTTTAGATGCTTTCGAGATTGTTTTAGACTTGGCTTTAGATGTAGCAATTTCAGATATTTCAGTATTCTCGGTGACCTCAGTGGCAACTTTGGCCCCACCGTCGTCATCGTATGACTTGGGTGGAATCAGCACCGACTCCACTGACAGACCGTCGTGGAGACGCAGAAGGAATTTGGTCGTGGAACTCGTGGAACTCGAACCGGTCACCTCTGCACCTTCTGCAACTTGGATAACTTGCACTTGCTTTGTACTTGTCTGTACGAGTACTTCGTCGTTCACTGCGTTCACTTCTTTCACTTCGTCTTCCAACTGCTTCAATTCAAACGCTTCACAGACTTTGACGGCTTCAGTTTTCAGGGCCTCTGCAAAGATATCATCGAAGAGGCACAATGCTTTCAGCGCTTCCCGCTGTTTTTCATTCAATGCAACCGTTGCAACCCTGGCTCCCTTGGCCACTCCCTTGACTTTTGCCTTGGCAGCCTCGGAGAATTCGAAGGGAGAAATCCCCGCTCTCAAAGATGACCAGAAAACTGTCCAAAGAAAGTCCTTAGATTCCTTGGGTGCCTTTGACTTCTTTGACTTCGACTCGCAAAGTTCTGATAGTTGTTGACGTGTCAGTTGGGCAATTCCGGCGCGAGCAGTCCTTTGGGAGGGGCTACACAAACAGAAAGTCACACCTGCTACCAGTCCATTGAAAACTTTATAAGCCGTGGAAGTGGAAGGCCTGGAAGATCCGGAAGGTCTGCAAGGCCAACCAAGGTAACTAAGATAACCAAGCTTGGTTGTTTCAGGCCTGGTTGTTCCAAGCCTGGTCGAGGTTTTTGACTCGAACACAAATGCCGTTGTGACCAAACCTTGGGACGATGACTGAAAGTACATGGAGGTCATATAGTGCTGCAAAGGTAGGCGTGAGGCTGTCCTGGGCTAGAAGATGCAAAAACCTCGAGTCCTCATGTTTACAGATGTTTACAGCATAGTCTACGAATCTACGAAGACATCACACCTTGAGATTGGAAACCTGCAGACGTGCAAAATGTTGCAAGTGGCCCAGGCGTTCCGTGGTGTGTTGGGACCAGCTGGAAAACACGAAAACACAAGACATGAATGAACAGCTTAACAGCTTCATTGAAATAAATGGAACCTTCAAAGACACATGCAACGTATTTCAAATTATTTCAACATCATTCAACGTGAAGATACGTGAAGATGCGTGAAGCATGTGAAACATTGTGAAACCATATTCAGCCTATGCTACATGGATTCTGCCTGGCTCCCGGCTCCCGCCACTATGTATCACCATGCCGACCCTCGTCATGATCGTCAAAAAGCCAAGTCCAGCAGCCAATCCGGCCATCAGGAACTCAGCTCAAAGTGGTTTGACGGCGTTCAACATGTTTTTCCACAAGTTGAGCATGTTGTATCATTTTATAATATCTCTTAACATATTTTAAAAAATACAATTTGAGATACAAACATCAAGGAGGCTGTGTTTACTACGTGCGGGCTAGATGGGATAGTACATGGCTGAAGATGTGAGAAGGGAAACATGTTAAAATTGATGCGATTAACACTTCCAAACAGTCTGCGGGACAAATGGACAGGTCCCAGGACAGGCACAGTATTTTTATCCATAGATTAATAGATTACCAAACAAAAGCATCGCTTGCGCTGGGGCAAGGGACAAACACACATCCAGAACAGCAGTAGAGAGGGCCAAGCAAATCTATGCGGACAATCTCTTTGTTGGAATTTTCTCAAGCTGTTGCTTCTTAGGTCGAATTCTACCTGTTCCCATTGTCAGTCACCGAAACTTTCAAGAATACATAATTCGCAGAAGGGCATGGACCTTCCTCTCTCCTGATATACATTCAAGATGTTTTGCATGTTTTGCAGCATTTGCTTTCTCAAGTTGCTCTGCACAAATCATACCCGAAGCTTTAAAATCATTGATCTTTCTGGCTTACGCGATTCTTAAAGGAAATCCACCCCACTGACCCTACAGTGCCCTCCAGCTACAAGATTCTGTCTTAGCATTTTGAGGTGTTTCTTCATGTTTCTGATGCGTCCTTCCTGAAAACACTTCGAGTCACCATGAGAAGGAGGCAACTTAGCCAGCACGTGCATGTCCAGCGTACGAAGTGCTTTGCCACTTGATCAGTCAGCCTGACGGGATAGGCGATTGGGGTCAATGATGGTCAACGTCAAAACCACAGAAGGCCCAGGTAGGTTCAGCAGAATTCTGTGTAAACTGCTACGAGTATGACATAGTATGACACATGATGTGTGAATCAAGTGAATGACCCATAATGACCTGCAAGGTGCCAAAGAAACATGGCCAAGCTGCTAACCATGCTAAACGAAAATCATCAAGAGAAAAACTCAACACTCAAGAGCTCACCGAACTTAGCCGTTCTAAATCTCCACTCGCGCATGATCTTCACAACATCACTACGTCACTCCGTCCTGTCCACTGTCTTCATGTCGGATTGAACTACTCCCAGGCTTCCCAGGTGTTTAGTCGGGAAAAGGGGAGACTGAAAAAAATACTGTGAGGGCTTGCACCAGAGCACGAAAGAGATAAAGTCCCGCTGCTGTTTTGAACGCAGCGAGACTGCTCTGGTAGCCAAGCACCCCCTTGAGCCAAAAAGCACTCTGACGGGTTCACGATGACTAACACTGACCAATGACCAATGTCTGCAAGACATGCAGCAAACTGACGGGATGGACTCCCGTTTGAATACCAATGAGAATGGAGAGAGCAAGACTTCCAGCGGGGACAGCTCTGAAAAGAAATAAGTCCTGCAGCAATTCCTCACAAGACAGCTATCAAATGTCAGAATAGATATAATTTACAATCTTATGTACATATAATATCATATAGTAAACACACACACACGCACACATCATATGGCCAACAATGGCCATGCATACAAATTGTGAACGAACCGAACAACTCCCGTTCAAACGTGTTTGCACCTCGCGGTGGGTACGCAGTCACTTTGTCCTGCAACTTGGAGAGAACATAGTGACATAATGTGACATAATGTGACAAACATAATGACATAGTTCATCATAGTTCATCCATTTTGTCGCCGGATGTGATTCGAAATTCAAACATCTGAGTGCAGGGATTGGTCTATATCTACAAGAACCGTGAGGAAACTGGGAGAACATTTGACGCTTCGATCTCTGCAGTGAAAACTGGATCCGAAAATGATCCAAAAACTACATCAAATGCTAAATATCTGCGAGGCAGAAAGCCACAAAAAGCTGTTGCAAGAAGCTGAAAACAGCATCTAAGTATCTTGATCTACTTCAATATGATTCATATACAATTTATATAATTCATATGAATCTTCCTGAGACCTGCTAAGTTGCGGGCAACAGGTGGTGGAAGCGGCAAATCTCCAAACCAAATCACGAGAACTGTCTTGTCCTTGGACCACTTGGACCACTTGGACCACTTGGACCACTTGGACGACTTGGACGACTTGGACGATGGCGTCCCAGGTTAGCACAACAGCGTCATGATCACTCGATGACGATCATGCGGCATATCTTTTTTACACTCGATGATCACTCGATGTCTTTCTTCACTCCTGAAAATGCTTTACGATCTCAGTCAATTCAATTCATCTTAATTCATCTTAATTGTCTTAATTCATCTTAATTCATTCCTCTAAACTAATTGTCAACTCTTTACCGTTCCCAGTTCCGTGCCCTCTTGCATGGATCTTGACCAATGATAGCACAAGGAAACAAACAAAAACGGATGGGATGGGATGGGATTGGATGGGATGTGACTTGCTGCAGACTGCGGCATACTGTATATAGTATAGTCATGTATAGTCTGTAAATGTGGCAATTGACAGCCTATGTATTGGTGACTGGGAAGGTATTCGTATGTTTGTATGAGACTTGTGCTCGTAAAATAGGACGTAGTGTCAGTATGCCTGGATTCACAATCAGATTGATTATTATGCTTCTGCAAACTGACAGGTTCTGTCCAAAGTAGCAAGTCATAGCAAGTCATAGCAAGTCATAGCAAGTTGTATCTTTGGCATTCTCTGACCCTCAGTGATCCTCAGTGATCCTCTCATCCTCAGTTTCCCACATCGTGGCCATCACGGTGATGTGCCACCTCCAGCAGTTGCCGAGCAGCATTTGCTGCTGGATCCTCACGACTCGAGCGCTTGATCGAATCGAAAACGTCCAATCAAATTTATATACTATAAAGATCTATAAAGTACTATGTAAATAGTATTTCATAGTGATCTTATGATTCTTATTTGCCATATGAATAGATGCACTCCTCAGTTCAACCTAAGGAAAACGTCTCATTCTGTACTGTACATATCTTTTGGTTGTGAACTCAATGTGAACATCACACTTGCATCACACTAGAGCATAGAAACTAACTGGCTATGGAGGAACATGAACAGCCGAGTCTTCGAGTACCAAATCCTGTGGCAACAGCGACAGCTATGATCCCAGGAGTCTGCGACCTCTCCGCCCTCTCGGAGGACACTGGCAACTATCCGAACTGCCTGGTGAAAAACAAAACAGCACCTCCCAACAAACAAAAAAACAAAAAACATATTCAAGACTATTCAAGGCACACTCAGAGACTCAGAGACTTTGAGACTTTGGCAGCAAAGTATTCATCTATCATCGTCTATCATATCTATGTGTACGTGTATGATCGTGTATGCATCTGTGCATTTGCGGTCATTGGCGCCTCGCCATCCGTGACAGGACCCCACACTCCATCACTGGCAATGACCACAAAGCAGTCCTGAATAAAATTGAAACACACACACAATGCTGACACACACACACACTGTCAAGCTGCACTAGTAGTGGACCTTTCTGTGACCTTTCTGTACTTTCTTAATTCTCAAATGGTCGGATCTGTCGATCACTCTAGCAGCTGTAGCGCTGTAGCGTCCTCCCGGAGGTCCAGGGTGGAGACAAAAATGTCTGGCCTCCGAAAATCGTTCTAATCAATTCTAATCGATAGTAATCTGATCAAGAACTCTTTGCTTTTTGCAGTGAAGAACTCTTTCCATCTCACGTTGTGCAAGTGCCGTCCAACCATGATCTTTGGTTACATGTTTATAATATTTTACAATTGTGTATATCATATCAATGTATACGTTTCTGCTCTTTTGCTGGCGACCTGATATGCTTTATTTGCGGTACACGTCTTGGTCGGCTTAGTCCCCGACACCGCGCTCACCACCTCAACACAGACCGCTGAAGACTTGAACTCGCAGGACTTAACATATCTTACATTATCTTACACTTACTTAAATTAGACTTACTGTAAATCAATGTAAATCATCTTAAATGATCGTTAAATCTCAAATTCCGACATTCCGAATCTGTATTACAGCATTCCATGGTACGAGTACAGAGCGGCAGGTAATCCCAAGGATATTCAAAACTAGGCCAATCTGGGCCATCAGAGTTGACTGCACAAGGGACAAAAACTTGACAAGACATGACATTGACAAACCATCACCTGGCTCCGACTTTGGTCTTGATGTCTTGAGGTCTGCACGTTGGCACCTGTCTTGTACTCTATGTCACCAAAGCCACGAGAAACCGAGAGGCCAGCTAAGCCCGTGCCCTGCCAACGAGAACATTGCCCATTCAAAAAGGTAAGGTTGGCATCAAGCCCTACAGAAGCCTCTAAGCAAACCTTGAAATAAGAAACCAAAGAGCTGCTGGGCAAAAAGTGGCTTAGTTGGATTCAGAATGCAAACTTTCGCCAGACTTGTTGTAGTGCGTAGCGTGGCATTTCGGCTAAGTGGCTTAGATCTCAATGCCATCACAGCATATCTGTGCATATCTGATATCTATTGAATATATTGATTTCAATTCAATTCTATTGATATCTGATGTCTCGGGGGGTTAACAGAGTCAGTGTCTTGGCCTTTTTGCTCGGCAAAACGATACGCCAAATTCCACTGGCTTGGACCACTGCCTGAGATGGGTGAACATTCTATGCGTATTTCCTGGATTGCAGTGTCCAGCTGTGCTGACAACATTGGTCAATTTCTTACTAACTATGACTAACCACCAATGATGAGAAACCCCCGTTCCCGGACCCACAAGCTTTTGACAACCCGCTCAGAAGAAATCCAATTTGTGTGGGAAGTGTATGTGTATGTGTATGTGAAGATTATGGAAATTGGCACCATTATGCCACATCAGAACCTTGAGAAGCTAAAGTATAGACAATCTTGTCACCTGTTTCAATTTCATTCGTCTTTCCACATGTGCATCTTTGTATATAATGCTCCATTTGTCAGATTGCTGTTTCTGCTTCACCAAAATCTTCTGGGAATTGCTACATCTATGCCTCCCGGTACAAACATAGCAATCATTCATGTAGGAAAAATTTACCTATCCTGATGGATGTTGATGTATGTCCACATATCTCCACATGTGTCTGATTGGTGTCTCAACATGTCGCTCTGTTATACTCTGTTAATCTTTAACTCCCCTGGATCTCCTCTCTGCCTCGTCTATAGATGCCTACGAGTGTGTGCACCTGGGTCTGTGTCTGTGTACGTCCCTGTGCAGGGTGCGCCTGTCAGGTCTATGTCGGTTTGAATGTCAATCAACGATGTCAAAGCATGTCAGAGAATGCCAGGTCAAAGAGCATCTGTGTCAGCTCTTTCTCTATGTTTTTCAAAAAAAACAATGTACCTTTCCATCCATCTATCCATGATATCCATGTCTATATGATGTACATCTATATCGTCTATATCATTCTATATCTGTATCCACGTCTACATCTATCCAATCCAACTCAGGCATCTATCTGTCAGTCTGTCTGCCTGTATCTATACAACATGATGTCTCTTTGTGTTTCTAAGTGTGTATGCTTGTGTCTCCTCTATGCATCTCTCCATCTGCGTATCTACATCAATATCTACATCAATATCTACATCAATATCTAACTATATCTATCTATATATATAATTATATATATAATTATACATCTATATTATAGTATCTATATCTATATCTCTCTCTCTCTCTCTGTCGCTCTGTCTCTGTCCGTCTGTCCTCAGTACCCAATCAGGCACCCATCCGTTGGTCTGGTCTAGACTGGTCTACTCTCGCCTGCATATCCACCAACCGTCACTAACCTTTTTTTCTTGTGTCTGTGATAGTCTGTGGGCCTGTAAGATCCTGTAAGTATCTCAGTTTTTGTGGATTTGTAGCTGGGCCTCTCTATCTGTTTGCGTTAAGGTGTTGCCTCTAGATGTGCATGGATGAAAGTCCGCTTTCTCACGGATTCTGGAACATGTAACGAGCATGATTTATCTATATGTGTTTTGTGTCCCTCTTAACTTGCAACATGGCATTGTTTCTATACATAAATGTGTCTGTGTACATTGTATATACACTATTGCGTGTTTGCGTGCACGTACACCATTGTACAAGTAATATTACATCTATCTGTACATTATTAATAATACGCAATATACAATTGGGAAAAAACCTAACTGCGGATATGCGTCTCCGCTTCCAAGTGATGCAAAACAAACGTACCTGAATTCCAATATGGCAGTGTGTCAAAACCTTGTACCCCTGGTGAACATCAAAATAGCTGGTAAATGGATGTTCATCCCCCTAAACATGGTATTAATAGGTATTGATCCATACCCATATGTTCCCCCAAACAAAAACCTCTAGTATGGAATTTAGAACGGATGACAATTGGAGAAACATCATATTGCATATCTGGACGTGAAACTAAGTTCTGTCATAGAGTCATAAATGCAGTATAGAATATTATAGCATATTGTAAATACTGATTTGATTTGAAGGTTTTACAATTTCCGTTTTCGTCGAGGTTAACCTTGAACTGGGCTCCCGGCAGCTCCTTCGGCTTCAATCCTCTTGCGCTCTCCCGGAACGTCGGGCCTCTGCACGATCGAAAACCGGGAAAAACGGAAACAGAAAACCCCAAAAATTTCCAAAAACATATGAAATCCATTGAAATCCCAAACAAATCCAAACAGCGCCCGCATACGACAGGTTGCGACATGGAAAACCCCCATGGCTGCACATTGAGCTCTAAACAAGGCTAACAAACAATGGATTGGCTATTGCAATATATTGCAATGGTTGACAAGACAAAACAACATTTGCAGAAAACCGTTTTTGCAATCTCAATCAAATGTCCTGTATCCTCTGTTTTCTCTTTGTTGTCAAATCCTCTGGGCATGTTCCTACCTTGTTTCTTTCAAATGAGAGTTCAAGGCAATTATGCAAACTAAGCCTAACTAAGCAAGTCTTGATGCATCTGAACGAAAATAACAAATTTGGATGCATTATGATGCATTTATCTTCACAACATTCCAGCATATTCCAACAAATCCACAAAGAATCGGGCAGTATGCAAACTAACACTGACACAGTGCAGGACCTGTTTTTGCTTGTTCATATGATGTTTGTATGGTTCTTACAAAATTTGGTTCAGTCATAGTATGAACAGGTAGCTGCCTGGCAGCTGTTGGGGATAGTTCAAAGTGGTCCAAATGGACGTGACTGACATCATCAATTGTGAAACAGGACCTGGTCTTGGACCAAACCAACATACGAACCTGTCTCGTCTTTTGAATTAAAACCGACGCCCGGACGTGTGATCTTCAGACAAACGCACTGCCCGGCAATCCTGCAGAAAGCACAACTTTGCGTGGAATAAAAACGTTTTTATTTTTCAAACGTTTTTAAATAAGGCAATTGAAACTACGCACAAACCTGTTGATCCTGTTGGGAACGTGTTCGTGACTTGTTGGGTTTTAAGATTGTTTCATGCCTTTTCGGCAACCGCCTTTTCAGATCGTTTCAACAACATTTTGAAAATTAGTGCCACATGTGTCAAAGCAAGCCCCGGCTGTTTGGGGTTCACCCAGCCGTTTCATCTCTTTTAGTCCTTTCGTCCCAGAACAGCACGGCTGTCCCCGGCATTTGCAACTGCAAGTCGCAAACGACCATCCTGGGGCATCTGAGTGGAAACATGAAAAAATACCAATTTGAAACACCTTGCAAAAGTATGCAAAAGTGCAATACCAAGTTTCAAAATTCCATGCCAGAAACAAACAACATCAAACAACTGAGAAAATAATCCGGTTTGATTCGGTTTCATAGTTTGCTGTTTAGATCGTGAAACAAAAAGTTGCATGTCAGACACCTCGTCGGGCCCATAGAATGTGCAGGTGCTGGCAGTGCTTCCTCGAGAGCCCGAAATCTATTTGCCGCGGATCGGTCACCATTTTTGATCCGAGAAAACGAGACACCAATCACACTCCGAAGGCCCATCAATGGTTGTTTGATGTTGTTTGCTATTTAGATCTATTTAGTTGCCGCCAAGTACTAATTAATACTTTACTTACTTCACTCAAAAAAAAACTCCATTGTTCATTCCATTTGTTCTGTTTTGTGCTGGTTTGCCCTGTACACCGTGTCATAGTGTTAATCCTTTCCGTGCAGCCTGCATTTGCCCAAGCCGCTGCAGGACCTGCTTCTAGCCTCAAAAAAAAAAACTTCGATGTTCACAAAATGAAACCAGGGAACGAAGCCTCCAAATCCTCCAAGAAAAAACGTTGCAACAAAAACATCAAGAGTTCAACCAATGCGCAGCTGGGACATGCAAGTTTCCACTTCGAGACACACCAACCTTCACACAGGGCCTCATGAAAACGTTTTTCAACATGTGATTAGATGTGATTAGCAGTTTCGGCAGCTCGTGGCAAAATACAAAGGGATGCTGTTTGCATCTGCTTGCCACGCCTGTTGGCATACTGGAAGAAATTGTGTTCTGTGGTTCGGAAAGCAGCTTGCAGTGCTGACCGCATGGCCATATCACTGCTAACCTGCAGAACTGCTTTGCAAATGGCAAATGGGTTAAAGTGCTGTATCTCAGAGAGTTGTGCCTGATTTTTTGCACCGCCCTGCCCCCCCCCCGTTTTGAAAATTTCTTCGCTAGCCTCGCGTTTCATCTGATGCCTGATGCACTCGAAGACCTGATGCTCAATTGATTTTAATTCAATTGATGCGCAAGTGTTTGTGATAATCTATGGATGTTTATGCGTCAAAAATACTTAAAAGTAACCCTCACTGCAAATGTGTTGCAAATTGGAATGTTGTGTTCTTTCTCGTTCCACGGGGCGCTGCAAGTCGCTGTGTTCTACATGTAGCAAATCACAATCTATGCCGCACACAATTCGGTCCAGATTTGTGGCCACAAAGTCACTGCACGATGCCCCTCAGTCAACACATCGAAGATCAAAATCAGTCGCGTAAAGAATTTTGTAACGAATCAGTTAAGAAAGGGATAAGGTAAAAGGATGTAAAAGAATGTAATTAAAAGGTAAAAGGTGCGTCAAGAATCAAAATGCAGAGATCGTCTGCTTTGAGCAAATTGAAGAGATTTGAAGAGCACCTGAGTGTGGCGCCTGAATGACCATCGAAAACCCCAAAGAGTGACACCACCGCCTTTTTACAGCTGGCACCTTCCGGAGCCCGAATGACCCGCAGCCCGAGACCGGGAAATGTTTCGGATGACTTTCAATTCATTTCAATTCTCACATATTCTCCCGTCACAAAAGCCCACCCGGAATAAATTTGGCACATTGACAATCAATTGACATACATTGACCACAAAAAGTGAACAGAACATGACACCATATGACACCTCTGATGACAAGATATTTCAAGGCATGTCATGTTTGCATTTTGGCAAGGAGGACGCATGAGGACGCTGAAGCACCTACTGCTTCAACAGGGATCCCAGCTCGGACGATCATTCGGTCCTCAAGCAGGTCAGAGCGCGCAGCGCGCAACACATCGCACTTTCAAAATCTGACTCAAATCTGTCCATGGACTTCATTGTGAATTCATGAGAGGGGCCCCATATGATCTCATCAGTGCCCTTCGGGGGGTCAATGGTCAAAGTGTCAAAAGTGTCAAAGTGCGCTTCTGCAGCTGCAGTCCATGTCTGTCCTCCATTTGTGCCTTGCCCACCCCCTTTTCCTCCGATGGCAAAGTTAGCACGCTCATGCGCACACATTGCGCACACGTGTTGTTTGATCTTGTTTGAATGACCAGGAGAGGAATGCAATTCACCATTAGGTGCCTGAAAGCTGCCGATCTGCATGCCGTTGATCCTCAGAACATGAAGGGTGCAGACAAACAGGCAAACCCACAAACCGGTTCAAGTCCCAGCCCCCAAATTCCCCATACTGCAAACACTATGGAAATTGCAAGGCCGCACATGTCTCTGGAGTTCTTTTAAAGCGCCTAGCAGGCAACGTAGGTGACTGGTAAATCATCTACCGAAGGCTACCGAAGTAAGGGTTCTCAAAGGTCACGACTTTGTCGCGCAAATGGTACCAATACGTCGTAAGCTGATCATCTCGGAAGGCCAACCATGGCCCACCCTCACGAGCCAATTTTGCACGGCGTAGCAGCTGAGATGCCTGCAAGGCTGTCCAGCTCAGAGCATTCAGAGCATTCCAAGAAGAAAAGCGACTGCGAAATGATTCGAAACTTCAAAACACATGTACTGTAAAGATATTGCGATATAGAAACAAGAAAACAACAGAATCGATTCAACTGCTACAGTACCAACTGTCTCCACAACTACTCATTTCATGACATTTAATCCGCGTCCATCCGCATCCTGTTTCACTGTTTTGTTCTGTTTTGTTCAGTTTTCAGTTCTGTGTTGTTTCTCTTTTGACATCTTTTGACATCTTTTGACTGTTTCACTGTCCTCCAAAGGCGGCAAAGGCTGACCAAAGCGGTGCAAGATGCCAGCACGGTCAAGCTGCAAACAGCTGTGCTGTTGTCGGTGGCCATGACCGTGGCGCTCCCAAAAGGCCTCCATACAGAAAAAGTCGCCTGAGAGCACAGAGTTCAACTGAGCTAAAAGATGCACAGAGTTCAGTCAGAGTCAGAAAAACTCAGAAACTGCAAAGACCAACAAAACGCTCTATCATGCTCTATCATCATATTTCCATCTTTCAAATTATCTTTGGCTGTGGCTTCTATCTTTTATATTATCTGTCCCTCCTTTTTTGTTTTTTTTTCTCTCTCTCTCTCTTTCTCTCTTTGATGTGGCCTCTTTGGATTGTCACTTTTGTCTGTAGGCAATGGGCCGGCAATATTCTGACGTCTGGCTTTTTTGAATATGTGGAAAGCCCCGTCACAAAAGCCAGCCAAATTCATAGTGTTTGCGGGGTAATTGATTGAAACGTTTACATTTACATAGTGTTGAGCCCATCCTGAATGTGCAATGAACAAATCCCAAGGCGCAGCAATCCTCGCACAGAACTTCTGCAACCGTATCCTCGGCTGAACTTGCGTTGAACATCTCTACTTCAGCATCAAAAGGGAGTGTCTGAACAATGGTACATATGAATACATATGATAAAGATTGGACAACATCCATGGTCCCTGAATGAATTTGAAGGATGGAAAAGGATACGTAGGTATATGGATCAATGGGCGAAATGCCTTCAGGCAAGGAGGACCAAGAAAGGCTGGGCCTGAGCCCATGCATGCCCCATGCCCCAAGACCCAATGGGTGAATCCATTTAGAAGCTCCGGCATGCTCCAGCTACAAAGATCTACAAAGCATATCTTCGTCACTGGCATTTGGTGAGAAGCAAATACAAATACACTTAGCCTTGGCATGTCTTTACGACACATCTTTTGCGGTAGACTTCCAGCTTACCAACTTAGTAACTTGAATGAAAACTTGCCGAAGCAAAATCCGAGGTTCGGGATACTCAGAGCATTTGATTCCACCGAGTACTTGACAGTGTTTTTTTCCCAAATGTGGGTGCTGCTGCACTGCCATGTCATAGCCTTGGTCACTGTAGTATTGACCTTCCACCTGCCGGTGACAGCACTCCAACTCCGCAAAGTTTCATTTTCGAAAACTGAAATTGCTCTGAATTGCTCTGAACCGCTGATGTGTTCTGAGATTGTGTGGGTGTGTCTGTCCGTACCACTGGCCGCTGGTATTCTACCTGCACGAGCCACTACATATCTCCCGTTTGGTGTGTTTCTATCAGTAGCATCTGCTATGGCAGGTATCCCGTTCGGTGTACCAAAGGAACCTTCGCGTACGCAAGAAGAACAAGCTTGAGCGGTTTATTTCGGCCCATGTTTGCACATTTTAGTATGAGCATCAAATTCCCAAAGTGCCATCAGCCCAAGAAGATCTGAATAGGGATGTGCAACTGTACAATACTGTGTTTAGGTCCTTAGGCCGGGCGATTCCTGTCATTCTTGCTTCCTTGCATGTGCTTTGGAGGGGACTGCATGGGGGCATGTCGTCCAAATATGGGCTATGGGCTATCTTACTATATACTGTATATTGCAAGGATTTGCAAGGTGGGGGTTCAAGAATGACTTCAAATACTGGCAATCGTATTCTAAGGCTGGGTGTGAATTGTAGCAACTATTCAGAGCACTCACAGTGCGCCTTGGTTTCATAATTTGTGGTTGCTGAAGCGAAACGTTGGTTGCTGAGCCGTAGTTGCTGAAGCGTAGTTGCTGAAATTTGCTGAAGCAAAACAACTGTTGGTTGCTGTTGGTTGCTAAGCCGTGCTTGCTGATCCGGATTGGCGGAGCTGTGTTGCTGAATCGGACTTTAATCAGTTGGGAGTGGTGTGCTGTTGGGCTAAAGGCCAAAGCCGGCTAAAGGTCTATCGAATGGACTTTGTTTTGACATGTTGAGAGTCAATGCTGGAAGACATCTGAAATCGTCTAGGACAGTGTAGTCCACCATAAGCCTTGTATGTCGTTGGTGCAAGCTCATCATGACATGGGAAGGCTCGTGGTTCCGGTGTTCTCTTGTGGCCCGGAGAGATTCGGAGAGGATGTAGACATTGCTGCAGAAACGTCTGTAGCTTAACATGAGTTCTCTGGGCAATGCTGAAAATAGTATGAACAATGCATGCAAAAAAATCAATAAAAATCAGACAATTCCATAATTCATCTTAATTCCAAAACATGCTAAACACTGGTGATATGATACAAGCCCGACGAACTTTGGTTGGGGAGCGGAAAGTAGTCCCCCATTGGCCAAAGGATGTTTCAGGTGCTTTTTTTGGCAAGCTTAATGATCGTGATTCCACCTCACCCCTGACAACCTTGCAGGAAGAACTAAGTTCGAATGCAGACCTGCCTTGCAAGTTGCTGGCTCCCGCGGAAAAACCGAACAGGCACACCTTAGATGTGCACGATTTTGCACTATGCGAGTCATCGAAGACAGCGTCGCATTCCATGGTCCACACAGATGCGCAAAGGTTGCAGGACCAAACAATGCCCCTCCAGCAGGCCAGGGCACTGTTCCACTTTCAGCGGATGGTGTTGTCGGCGCTTGCCCGAAGCATGGCATTTCTGGAAGCCCTCCAGGGAAAAGAAGTCCATACACTCCTGGGGAGGGGAACATTTGCCCGACATGCCTTGGCTCAAGTGCACACAGTGGTGTAAAACGGCATGCAGATGCATACAGTACTTACAATACACTACAATACACTACTGAGATCTACTGAGTCACTGCAAAAATATTCAGAGATCTGCAAAGTGCAAGTACTGTCGGATTTGGGGTCCTCGCACTTCAGGGCAGCAGGAAGATCAGCGAATTCTGAGCACATTATGATGGTTTCCCCCTTGCTGAGGACCACTTGGATCTGCTCGGCCCTGAGATTCTTTGTGAAGCTGTCAACATCTGCCTTTTGATGCGTTGCCACTGAGATGTCGTACTGATCTTCAGCGAAGCTTTCAATTGCTGATTTTACCTAAGTTCACCACCCACATCTCACCAGATCAATCTGCCATCCATTATTATGATTGTAACATATTGTAACACTCTGTGAACCCCAAATAGCTTCTCAATCAATGCCCATCCCCCAAAACATGGGATGCTTTGACCATCTTTGACCCATTCCTGCATTGCTTCACCATGCTTCCCCGCGCCAGCACTATGCGCGCTATCCTGTATGGGACCAAAGCCGGCGAAAAAATTGCAAGACCCACCAGGTCCACAAGACCTGCGAAACCTGGCTGCCACAAGAACTCGCAAACTCACAAGAACTTAATGAAGAGAAGGTGCCGTTGTTGACAAAACAAACTCTGATGTGGTGTCAATGCCCAAAAGCACTGCAGTTCGCTCAAGAAGCACTGGAGTCATGGGGGGGAGTTCTCGGTGACAACGGTTCAGAACTTCATTAAGAATTACCGCCAAATGTGCTCGTATCTTGGTGCTGTTCAAGGCCTTTGAAGAAAGTGTTTGATAGAATTTCTGCAGTTGCTCAGCGTAAACCTTGAATCTTTGCAACATGGGATGCTTTCGCGTAATGAAGAGTTTCCTCTCATGGTAATATACGGCACGGCCGTCATCATCCGGAAAGGTAATCCATCCTTCAGGCAATTCCACCGAAGCAGCGGCATCAACAAGCCACAGCAAGTGCTCCTCGGTCTGGTCCAAACCCAGTTCCGCAGCCACTGGGTCTACTGGGTCTACTGGGTCTTGGAGAGTTCGGAGAGTCTCGAGTGGGTTTCTCGGCTGAGTCTCGAGTTGCCTAAGCTGCCTCGATCTGACAGACGATGTGCTTTGGCACCTTGGGTGGCTCCCATTCATTGCACCGAGTGCACCTTCGTGTCCTTCGCCTCCTTCGTCTTCGGCTTTCACACCTCTGAAATCCGTGGGCCTACCGGGCCTACCGTGCATGTCCACTTGGTGTGGTATTTCACTGGCACGCATCCGACACTTTGGATTCGATCCCAAGGCGGAACTGTGTCTGGACTCTTCAGGCTCGATGAATGGCTCGAATCGCTCCAGCTTAGGCACTACGTGTGGCAAAGAAAAGTGGGAGCTGGGAGTCTGCAAAGTTCCTCTCAGCCTCGATGTTTCATGTGCCTGAAATGTCTGAGATGCCTGAGATGCCTCCGGCTTGTCACACTTGTCAAATCTGTCACGGTCCAATGAGCCTAATCGTCTTGTTGCTGTGGTACTCAGAGATGAGTGGGGGGACGTCGGAGGCGGGAAAGATGTGAGACTCACTGGGGTTTGGTCCGGTACAAACGGCGAGGTAGGTGAGTACTCAGTTGACTGTGGGCTGCACGGTATACTCGTGGAGGCTCCGCTGGGAATCCTTCCCGACTTCAGTGGCTGAGGGGTTGGCTGAGGAGGTGAAGGTTCTGATGAACGATGCTGAATTTGACTCTGAGCGCTCTGAACACCCTGAGGCACATAAGGCAGTTGGATATGGGCCTTGGCGGCCTTGGAGAATGGCTCAATCGATGGTGTGGCGGAGGGAGACTCTGAGCCAAGTGCCTCAGTGAGATGCTTCAGAAAGTAGCCACGCCTCTCCGGTTGGCCTACGTAATGTCCAAATGCCCGATCTCCACCGTCGCTGATGATCCGAATTGCCATGCTCTTTTTCAGGGGAAGAGGGACTCCCCATGTTTCAGGCCAGTGGATGTCGTCTGGATCAAAATCCGAAGTCGCGACAACAAAGCTACCCGAACTACCCGAACTGTGGAACCTGCTGGCATACTTGCTCTGAGGTCTGACAACCTTCCCCCAGATTGATGCAGAGCTTCCCATCAAACATAGCTTCACGAAGGTCAGGTGCACGCACAGCAAAAGCTCTTTTTCATGTGCTGTTCAACTTTTACAATGCATTTTATATATACCGTATAATTTTATCCATTTTGACCTTGTGCTTCACTATAATTATCTCTGACGTCTGCGCAAGGACATCGTTGTGGAATGCGGTGGACATTGGTGGGCAACTATCGACAAGGTCTTGTATGAAACCAGTATGTCTGCTCTACCTGTGCTATTCATATGTTGTTTCAATCATTGTGAGGCATTGACATGGTTTCAGATGTTTCAGCATGTGCCTTTTTCATCTGCCTGCTCTGTCTTGAGCAAAAACCGATGGGCACTGCCAAATAGATCCAAATCGATCCAAATAGCAAGTCCTTTTGTTGAGGAGTTTGCTCGACATCACATGACAAAATCCAAAGGATTCAGCCTGGTGATGCACGTCAGCTATCCTGAGCAGGATACAACAATTTTCGAATCAGCGCCTCTTTTTGGCCTTGGTTTCACGACGTGTCAAGAAATGTCAAGCCATTCAATTCCACGTTCTGCCTGCTGGGTTCGCGACCTAGAAACCGATTTGTTAATTACCCAATGGCCCATGCCTGTTTGGTCCATGGTGTCATTCAACGCAGAAAAGATTTCTTCTGTTTTGGACTCTTCCAGTTAACATTGACCTTCAACCTGGAGCAAAAGCTGGTGCGGATTGGGACTTGTTTTGCATGGATACACGCGTGTTTGCGCACACACACACAACAAACATGCATACACACCACTTGATATGAACATCCTCAAACTAAGACTTTGTTCTTAGGAATCTCATCTTCCAGTCTCAATAGGATTTCAGCTAGTAGGGGTGTGTAAAGCAAGACCCACGCTTCAAACTGTGCGAAAGCAGTTCTGAAACAAGGAGTCTTTGAAGCAACTAGAAAATTCTGCAACTGGCTGGTGGTAAACTATATTGACATTTGCCTAAAGCGAGAAAAGGGGGGTCTTTGAAGAGGACTCCAATCACGGAGGGATAGCAGTATCTGGATGATCTGGCAGTACTTCCAAACTCTACCATGAAGGAAGACCCGAAGGCGAACAGTCCCATGCGGCACGGTGCTGTCGGATGCTGTCGGTATACAATGGGCGATCAGCTTGGATACCGCTTTTCTAGTGTGATACAAACACACACATAAGTTGTTGAAAGTTATTGTGCATCGACCGAAGTTGACTGAGGCATGGACTTGCTGGCCACTTCTCTGGCAAACCACTTCCAGAGCGAACCCCAGCCACCTAGAGCAAATGGATGCAGCGCAAATCTTGAAGGCGAGACTACGATGAGGATCCTCCGAGTTCTCGAATCAAATCATCATCCAGAATCCTTGAAACCATTTCCATGCAAAATGCCTACCTCAACAGCTCTGACACATCTTAACACACCATGACACGTCATGATGATTTGCAAACACAATCAAACACAGCGCTTTGGAATCAAACTGCGATTGTTGCAACGTTGGAGGATGTCGTCCAGGTGAAATTCATATCATGGTGTGTGCAATCTCACACCCAAATTGTAAATAGTCTCACCGGTCACCACACTTTGTTTACTGTGCCAAGTGCCATTGATCCCCATGTGCATTGTTTGCAGGTGTGTATTAACTAAATATGTGCATATGTGTGTGTGTGCGCATACTTGTCACGCAATCTTATTTCAACTACTTTGCATATCTTTACATTCAGAACATGCATAATCATTGCAAATATTCATGTTTGCACCTGCTGTGTCTGCCATTCATGTCATATCTGCCAACGCAAGGGTTTTTCACCGGGTAAGCAGTCGCTCAGCTGCCCTCTCGCAGCTGAATTTTGCACTGCCTTCGCTGCCCTTGGATGCCCTTGGCCGTGCTCTAAAGGACGAATTGTTCAGGGCTCAAAACATGTATTTGTTGGACGCCGAGCACACAAAAATCTCAGTCGAGATCTAATTATTCAGCCTCTGCCTTTGGCGAAAGACTGGCAAAAACACTTTGGCCCTCAGACTTGGCTGGGGAGGGTCCAAAACTTCTCCGCTTCACCTATTCTCATCTGCTTTGCCTCAAGTTAGATCACCAATCATCACCAATTCATCACCAATCATCACCAATGATCACCATACGTGTTCAATCCTTGAGCCCGTGAGGCCGTCCTGATCGTCCTGAAAGTAACTTTCCACGAGCCCCGCCAACTGAGCATTCGACACGGTACCAATCTCGAGGATAGCTCCAATGCCTCGATCACTTCCCAATTCGTCAGGTACAGAGTAGGTCACGTGGATGCAACATGATGCAACATGTTTCTTTGATCTTTTCTGATCTTTTTTGATATTGTTTGATCTTGTTGGGGGATATTCTATGATATTCTTGTTAGACTTCTTCCACAGCACTTCATACCAAGTGACAGCAAGCTGTAGCAGCAAAGTGCCAATCCCCAGAACAACGCCATCATCGCGAAGACAGCCATTGCAAATCCCTCCTGAGACACCCAATTTGACCGCTACTGCTGTTCAAATTGCTGTTCAAAACTGATGCATTTGTGCATATATTAATATATATATATATATGTGTGTGCATTATATGCATGTATAATCATGACCAATCATGTATATTTTTGAGTTTTATTATGTTTTATTCATCTCTTATAATCTCTTATCAGCTCTTATCATGGGTGAAGGATCAAAAAAAAAACACATCAAAAAAAATATCCCCATAAGTATCAAAATAAACATTGATTTGCATCAAAAAAAATATTCCCCTGGACTTCTATGGAACTGTCCAAGATTTCAACGTGGTCCACGCATCAAAAAAAAATAAAATTTGTATCAAAAAAAAATAAATTCCGAGGTATGCTAATACAAGTGAGACTCGTACGTGTCTGGAGACAGGGGAGGGAGGGTCAGATGTCGATTGCCGATCTGTCCGCAATATCCAGGTGGTCCGTATCAAACAAGAAAATTCCGAGGTATGCTAATACAAGTGACTCGTACATGTCTGGAGACAGGGGAGGGAGGGTCAGATGTCGAAGAAAAGGTCGACTGTCAGCAGACAACAGATACCAATGCATATTAAATCACAACTACTCTTGGGATACCGACTCAGACGAAGAGTCCCATTAAGGTGCTCCATAACGCAATGCTCATACATGCGAGGCGATCACACGTCTGGAGAACTCTCTTGAGATCCCAACAGATACCAGCGCATATTAAATCACAACTACTCTTGGGATACCGACTCAGAGGGAGAGTCCCAGCAAGGTGCTCCATAACGCAATGCTCATACATGCGAGGCGATCACACGTCTGGAGAACTCTCTTGAGATCCCAACAGATACCAGCGCATATTAATTGTTTTCCATTGTTTTCCATTGTTTTCTTCAATGTTTCCCCGGTGTTCTTCAATTTTCCATGGTTTTCTGCAAGTTTTCTATGGTTTTCTTCAATCAATCAATCAATCTATATACATATGTATATATATATATATCTATCTATCTATCTATGTATGTAGGTAGGTATGTATGTATGCATGTATGTATATGCAGGATTTGGTTTAGGGTTTAGGGATACAACATGTAGGTATAATTACGTGATTATTTGTAGTATATTTTGGGATCAAAGCTGTGTATAAAAACAACCACAAATATGTCATATATATATATACGTCTATCTATCTAAAAGTAAATATGTATGTGTATTTCTAAATAAACATATATATATATATTTATATATATTGATAGAGACATAATTATATCAATATATACACATTGATATGTATATACATATTCATATGTATTTATATATATATATATATACATTTATATAAGTACATAAATATATATATATATAAATGTATATATAAATGCAAAGATATACATACATACATACATACATACATACATACATTAGATATATATATATATATGTGTGTCTATGTATATATGTCTAGATATATATATATAAACATAAATATTAATATAAAAGAATCAAACTAGTAATTGAAAAGTGTGCAAGTTTTGAATTTAAATAATTAAAAAAAAAGCGGGAGAGGGGGATTGGGGGGGAGGGCGCCGCGCCTCCCCCCCAAAGCAGATTGGAAACACCTATTTTCACATGCAAGGTGCTGGGTTGAATGCGATACTCAAGGTGTATGTAGGTAGGTATGTATGTATGTATGCATGTATGTATGTATATGCAGGGTTTGGTTTAGGGTTTAGGGATACAACATGTAGGTATAATTACGTGATTATTTGTAGTTTATTTTGGGATCAAAGCTGTGTATAAAAACAACCACAAATATGTCATATGTATATATATATATATACGTCTGTATATCTATAAGTAAATATGTATGTGTTATATAAATATATATATCTATATTTACATTTATATATATATTTATGTAAATATATATATATATATATTTATGTAAATATATATACTGAGAGATACACAATTATATAAATATTTACATGGATATGTATATACATATTAATTTATATATATATATATATATATACATTTATATAAGTACATATATATATAAGTGCATATATAAATGCAAATATATACATACATATATATACATATATATGTGTGTGTCTATATATATATATGTCTAGATATATGTATATATATATACACATAAATTTTAACATAAATATGAATATAGTCGAATCAAACTATATAGTGTATTGAAAAGTGTCTTTCTTTTTTATTTAAATAGTTTAAAAAAAGCGGGAGGGGGGGATTCAGGGGAAGGGCGCAGCGCCTCCCCCCCAAAGCAGATTGGAAACACCTATTTTCACATGCAAGGTGCTGGCTTGAATGTGATACTCAAGGTGTATAGACTACACGACATGCACCCTGGAAACATGTGGAATACAGTATATATACTTGTAGATACATACTCATTTATATATATATACAGTTATATGTATATACATATGAATGTGTATATATATAAGTACATATATATATATTAATATGTAAATATAAATATATAAATATAAATACATAAATATATATATAAATATAAGTGTATATATACATGCATAAATATAAGTATATGTATATATTTACATATTTCTATATGTAAGTATATATATATATTTGAATTTGAACATAAATAGAAATACTATGTATATAAAAATATAAACAGAAAATATAAATAATATAAATATATTTAAATATAAATATATAAGTGTGTATATAAATGCATATATATATGTATATATACATATACATAAATAACAGTACGCAACTGCTACGGTGATGCCTGCATGTAATTTGAATGATCTCTTATGCATGTAATATTACATCATTATTTCTTTCCTTTCTTGTTTCCTTCCTTTCTCGTCTCCGTCCTTTCTTCCTTCTTTTCTTTCTTCCTTCCTTTCTTCTTTGGTTCCTTTTTCTTTCTTCCTTTCTTGTTTCCTTCCTTTCTTGTTTCCTTCCTTTCTTGTTTCCTTCCTTTCTTCCTTCCTTTCTTCCTTCCTCTTCCTTTCCTTCCTTTCCGTCTTCCTTCCTGTCTTCTTTCCTTCCTGTCTTTCTTCTTTTCTTCCTTTCTTTCCTTTCTTTCCTTGCTTCCTTCCTTTCTTCCTTTCTTTCTTCCTTTCTTCCTTCCTTTCTTCCTTCCTTTCTTCCTTTCTTCCTTCCTTCCTTTCTGTTCTGTCTTCCTTCCTTCCTTCTTTCCTTCCTGTCTTTCTTCTTTTCTTCCTTTCTTTCCTTGTTTCCTTCCTTCCTTCCTTTCTTCCTTTCTTCCTTCCTTTCGTCCTTTATTTTTTTTTGATGCATTTTTATTTTTATTTTGATGCATTTTTATTTTTTTTTGATGCCTACGCCTCTTATCATTGGGTGCCACATTGTTCCACTGAGATAGCAGCACTGGCTTCCAAGCCCTGAGTCTCTGACGCGATTGTGCGTCAAACGTATGATGTCCTCCATGGATTTCAAATTATGTCACGTGAATGTCACGTGAGATCGGTGTTGCTATGCAAAAATGTCCTTCACATTTCGTGTGTTGATTTCATGTCTTTTGATGTCTTTTGAGTTTCTGTTCCGAAGCATTGATTTGTCCCCCTCTTTCATTTGCTTGTCGCATCTTTGTTTCAAGTGACTCATTGCTTGTCCACTGCTTTTCCCTCCTCTGATGACTTTTGCGGATCGTTGTCGACAACGATCTGCTGCATAGCTAGCGACAGGGCAGTCTGGACCTGGCTCAACGACTCAACTTGGAATTGGTAGCCAAATGTAGCAAGCAGCCAAACGATGCCATATGTCATTTTGGTCTATGACCCTTCCAGGGCAATTCCTTCTTTCTTACATTGACCTCGTGATGTATAGTGAGTGGTGTGGCACAGCGTGCAGCGCATGTTGCTGCTATCTGACTGTATCTCACCGTGCTCTGTGTATACTGCGTGTGTTTTACACCGTCGACATCAGCACAGTGACACAGAGTTGCGTCCAAGTTGCGCCAGGCAGCTCGTGGCCAGCAATTTTGGGAGCAGAAACCTTAAGCGATGCGCCGAGAAGCTGGACATGTGATGCCAAGCCGCAGGGCAGCTATTCCTAGCAATCCTTCATCTATTCTCAAATTGCTACAGATACTTGTGAACAGGCATTACAACCATTATATATAATATATAATGTGCACAATGTGTACCAAGGAAATGCTCATCATATTCAAGCACCAAGAATCTCATGATACCTGAAGGTTACCTGAAGTGTCCAAGAGTGATTTGTATTTTGTCCCTTTCCACTGTATGGTCATGCAATGCTGCCCAGGCACCCCAATGATGCATGCGGCTGCCACACTGAAGACTTGCTCCAATGCCATTTGCCATGCTATGATGCCACTCTTGCGACCAGTGGGTGCCAAATCAACGACAATTGGAAGGCAAGCCTCAGCGCGACTCGTGGAAAGCATCCAGTTTGAATCCAGTGCGTAGACAGAATCGTGTGAATGGCTGCAGGAGTAGAAGCCTTTATTATTGTCATAATTCAATCTTTTTTTTTTTTCTCCCTTGATCGCCTTGACCGCCTTGACCTGCAGTGCCCTAGAAACTTTAAGAATCTTTAAAAATTTCGAACATCTCCAAACATCGGCTTCGCAAAAGCCCAGCATTCCGCACTAGCAGGTTGCTAAGATTGCAGCCCCACTGATCCAGGTGGAAGTGAAGCCAATCCCAGAAGTAAAGGACGCTTGATAAAGTAATTCCCAACCTGTGTTGGGTGAAGCCTGCGCTGATGCCAGGATATGCCAGGATGCCAGGCTAAGGATCATATTCAATTTGACATTGAACGAAGCGAAAGAGATCAGAAACATAGAAGAAGTCAGAGAAGATAGAGAAGTTTGCGAAAAGCGAGCAAAGAAAGCAACAAAGCAAAGTTAGTGCAAAGCGATGCAAAACAGTTTTATGAAATGCTCAATGAAATGTCTAATTATATAGAATATGTTTCATATATCAATTCAAAATATTTTACAGTAAGTGTTTAATCTGTATGAAATCTCGCTTGCCGAGTGCCGAGCCTTCATAGCAAAGAAACTCATCGGGAGAATCAACGCCACTGAAGCCTGGAGACTGAGCCAACTGAGCCAACTGAGCCAACGCCCAAACAGCCACCCGAAGCTTTGGCGTTTGCCAGGAAAAAAAATCGAAGCTTTGCCAGGCTTTGCCCAGATGCAAGGATTGTACCAAAATATGAAAAATAATGCGAAAATGGGAAAGAAATAGACAAAAAATGAAAAGAAATGAAAAATAATGAAAGAACCACCGCCTGCGCTACAAGAATTCGTCCGTGAGACGGAAGGCACCTGGAGGGGTGTTGAAATGTGGGAAATGTGGCTCTGCGACCGCATTTTCTATGCAGCACAACCAGAATGCCAAACCTCTGCTTGAAACATCTTCCAAATTTTGACTGATTATGACCATCAGTCCAAGAAATCACTGATTGAATTATATTGTTATATTGACCACACCTTGCCATAAGATCGGCCAACAGGCCGCCAAAGAGAGCGCCACATGCAGCAGAGACCTTCCCAACAGGTCTGTGCCGTGAATGCCATGCATCAATGGAGGGATTATCACTTTCAGCAACTTTCGGCAATTTTCGGCGACAAAACCCATATTTTCGAATTTCACATGGCTTCAAATCATTTCAAATCTCAGATCCAGGCCTGTCCCAAGCCACGAAGCGTGACCTGACATAGAAGTGTTGCTGCCACAGCCTCACAGCCTCACAGCCCAAAGTTCCCCGGATTTCGGCCTCTGGATGAGCCAACCCGACAGACTCCACGATTAAGATGTGGTAGCCCATAACAGTCCAGGAGGCGCATTTGAGACCTGGTGTCACTGGTGTCAGTTCAGGTTTCAGGTGGTTTCGTATGGTTTCGGAATGCTTCGGATGGTTTCAGCCCGCAGTGCTACATGTTCACTACCAAATTGCGTGAAAAAGAAACTCCAAAAGGATCCAAAAGGTGTTGCCGTGTTGCCAAATTCCAGTGAACTCTTTCACCCCATGCTGAGCTATCAGCATCCCGCAAACACGATCAATAAGAATGAAGGAAAGCGACCTTGCAACATCTTGCAACAGAAAATATCAGAAATCAGTGAGTCGCAAATCGCCTCAATTGATCCGAACCACCTTGAGCTGTAGAAAGTTGACAGAGTGCTCTCTACCTTTAGAGGATCTTGTGAATCTGGGTCCTGGAACATCCTGGAACAGCCTGGTACTTTCGGATCTGAAGATCTTGAAGGCATCTAAAATATCTAAAGATTCAAACTGATTCAAAAAGATTCAAACGAGCTGAAGCATAGCCGAAGCAGGGACAGTAGCGGGCCAGCCGCCAAAGCTCAGCACGGACACCTTTCAGCCGACACGAGCGCCGGAAGGCATCGAAGTCTCAGAATCGATCAAACTTTGATCAAACTTTGATCAAACCTGCTTGCTGACTTAGTCTCGGCTTATCTCAGCTTCATCTTATCTATCGCTCTTCGTTGCATCTGCTATTTCAACCTATTTCATACTAGACTATACTGCAAATGTTGTATCTGTTCATGCTTGATGTTGTGGTTCAACATGGTTTGCCCAGATCATCAGAGATCTATCATGTGTCTGCAGGTGCAACGACCTCCTCTGCGATTCCTTGCCTGGCTCCATGTCAGTGAGGCGTGCTTCGCGCGGAGGCTCTTTCATCGTGAGAGCGACCTAGGACGGTTTACATCGGCTTACTTGAATACCACTGACCATCATGGACCACCACGGAAAACTTTGTTTACAGATGCATTCAAACACTGGCCTGTTCCCAGTTCGCAATGTCGCTTTTCAACAATATATTTTACTGAGGCAGCTTCGAACAGCTTGGATGTCCGCCAGTTGTCGATTGAGCTAGTTGAAATTTGGAGAGCCAGCAAAGGCAGCATGTATAACTGTATAACAATATACGAAGACAAACATGAGCAACTGATGTCACCATAAATGCTGAGGCCTTTACGAATAAACTCAGGAGCATTGAGAGAAGCCCACAAGCCAGAATTGCTATTCTCCATCCCTGCCACAATATGGTGCATGATGGTGCACGCATGTCCACGCATCTACATCAAGCCAACTCTTGTGTAAAATCGTCAACCATGCTACGACATGCTAAGACATTCTCTGACACCTGCCTCGAAGCCAAAAAGGCTTTGCGAACAAAGCCAAGGATTTGCAAAGCATCCTAGCGCTATTCCTGCAGAGCGGAGGAGGAGATTAAACTGTTACAAGAGACGGAGAAACACTGGATGGGCGAACCAAAAAAACGATTCCACAATTGTACGAAGAGTCATTAAGTGTCATGAAGTATCTCGGAACCAAACGCTCTAAAAACAATGCATCTTTGATGGAAGCAATGCACAGCCAAAATGTCGTGGTTTTCGTGCAGACTTCGTGCCTAAATGTTTGGCCAAGGAGAAACAGCCGAAGATCCTCCCACGGTACTGCTCCGAGGTCACCTGGCACGCAAAGTGATGCCCGTTGCAGTGCCTGGAAGACCTGTGAAGACCTGGGAAGACCTACCAGATCCTATGTAGACCAATCATAGAGCAATGATACACTAGCAGCTCTACCAGGTGCCTGAGTAATGGAATTAAAATGGGATGAAAATGGGATAAACTGGTCATCAAATATTTCAAATGCAGTGACATCCGCGTCTACTGAGTCTACTGGAAATCCGTGCAAAATCTGATGTGAACCGAAGGTGTAACCGGTTGTAACCGGTTGACCTGCAGATTTGTTCAGAGGTCCTGGATGGTCCTGGATGGTCCTGGTGTCATCTGGTGTCATCTTGCCCATTCCGCTCCAATCCTGCCGCCTCTGCGAGGAGACCGAGACTCACAGAGCGGAGTGAGGCCATGGCAATGGCGTTGAGAACGCCAAGCAGAATGAGTGGAACCTAAGCAACATGTTGGGAATATGTTGTGACATGTCATGACCTAAGACCTTTGCTAAGAGATAGAGAGACAGAGATATGCTGAGACATGATAATGATTTAATAATGAGACAATATGAGACAGGTTGTTCAGACATGTCAGACGCATCTGAGGCGAGACATCGTAAAAAGAAGATACTGCTCAGCTCGAGGTGGATCTCACATGACCCTCACATGACCCTCACTCCGGGGCCCGGGCCAATGCATTTGCTGCAGCAAAACTACAAGTTAAACCTCCGTTGGAAAACATGCCAAGGGCCAAGAGGGTCTTGCGATTTGCTGCATTGGCATCAGCCAGCGCCTCGAACTCCGACGGCACAAGGCATATTGAGTTACATATGCAATGAATTTGTTGCGGAGACCTACGGTGGGAGCATGGGAGCGAAATGGAGCGAAGGACAATCCGACGAGTATGAACAATGAAACAAAAGGATGCGAAGGGACCAACTTTCTCATGCTTGAGGCCAAGGCTGCCCAAATGGGCAATGCAAGTGCGTGGCTTATTGCCTGACGTGCAAAGGCAATGATAATGATAGTGATTGAGAGTGAATGTTCAACATCAAAGCTATTGAGACATATTGAGACTAATTGATGCCCATATTATATCTAGCCGTTCTGGTTTTTATATCCCAAGGTTGTTTGCAGCAAGTGCGTGATGATGCGTGATGCATCTGAACAAGTGCCCTATGCACCAAGTGGCAATGCCTGAGTTTACTCATCTCTACATCTTTACACCTCTCATATCACCCCACTATACACATACTATACACCATTGTCCATTCTGTCCATTCTGTCCATTCTTGTCCCCCGTCCTGTGCTAATACAACTGCCATGAGGTTCTGCAGTGAGAGCCCCAAATCGCTGATCAAAGGCAATGCCACAGCGGGCAGCGCTAGAATGCCAAGGCCTTCAGATTCAGATGTGACATGACAAGGCCTTCAGATGACCCAGTGCCAAGATGTGCCAAGATGTGCCGGTCAACCCAAGCCGACGTGGAAAAGCATGAAAAGACAGCAGTAACCACCAGGAAAACTCACCAGGTGATAATCGGTGATATATCATTTGACATCTCTTTGACGGTGTGCCCAGAACACCCAAACTGATTACATCTGATTACATCTGATTACATCTGATTACTGATTGCAGATGATTGCAGATGATTGCAGCCTAGTCCAAACCCCTTTGCAGTGAATCCACCTGCTATCACAGCAAGCACCCAAGCAAGAACATGGCAAAACATGATGATGCGAAACTGGTATTCTCTGCTGGCCCCTGTGAAAAAAAATGCCCACATCCCATGTGGATTGGGCCTTCTATGAGACCAACGGCCCAAACAAGACAAAGCAGTGCTCCATGACCACGACTCGAGCTAGTGCTATCAGTGGAATCTTTGGATCCTTCAGAGCTGTCTCTTGTTGTTTCGATCCTGGCATTGCCACGATGAAAATGGCACAAGGACTGTCGCAACAAGCGGCACAAAAAGTGTATCACGGCATATCACGACTATGTGCACGCTCATGTGCATGCTGGCACACGGTGTGGGTAACAAATCACGCTGGCCAGGTCTATGTGCAATGCAGTGAGACACAGTTCGAGCCTTTTCTGCAAATGTTTCTTCTTTAGCCGGTCCTAAGTTACGGACATTGGTTTGTGCCTTTCAAGGTCGAATTTTTGTAACTATGGCTGAATATAAATGAATATAGCATGAGAGTCTTGATATAAAATGATATAAAAATATGCTGGCACTGGGCGCTTTCAAACATACTAAGCATGCAAGAAAATCCAGAAGCTACGCAAAGGAGGCGACATAAGGTGAACATTAGAATCTTTTTCAGAGTTCATGAAACCTATGGCCTAATGCCATCTGATGCCACCCTAATTTTGAAATCTCTTAACACCCCTCCTGAAACGTCCTTGGTGCTCAAACCTCGGTGAACCTTCCTCGATGATTCCTTGAAAAAACCTTGACGCCAAGGCACTGTGATTTCTGGAGCTGCTAAAGCTAATCTCAAGTAATGCAACCGCTGCTCTGTGGTGAGTACAGCCTGCAGGCCGCATCGCGCAAAACAATATAGATCAATATAACCGAAGGAAGTCTACACGTCAAACTATCGACAGCATGGACAGATAAAAAGAAGAGGTGGGAAGAGCCAGAGAAGAGAAGAGAAGAGAAGAGAAGAGAAGAAGATCAAAGAAGAGAAAGTCAGAAGAAAGAAGATCCAGGCGCACGACAAGGTAGGAAAGTCGCGGCCCACTGTGTTTTTCCAATGGTTTTTGGCTCCGGAAGGTCGAAAAGCAGGCTTGCTAAAGCGGCGGGTGCAGAGCCATCTGGCGGGCCGAGAGATGAAAAAAGATGCACGCTGTTGTGGCGCAAGCGCATTTGCAATTGAAAACGCTAAAAACACTTTAGCTGCGGAGCATTTTTAGAAGTTGAGATGTCGAAAAAGTGCACGCCGTTGTGGCGCGATGCACATTTGATCACATTTGGAAGGCAAAAGTGTTAAAAACTGATGGTCTCGGACCATTCTTGGAAGGTGAGATGCTGGAAAAGTGCACGCCGCTGTGGCGCGAAGCACGTTTCCAAGTCAAAATGTACAAAGCAAACCAGCTCCGGACCACTTTTGGAAGTTGAGATAAAGTGCACGCCGTTGTGGCGCGAAGCACATTTCGAAGTCAAAAGTGGAAAAAACTGAGGGGGTTCGAAGCACTTTTGGGCGTTCGGATGTCGTTTTGAATGGCACGCACAAGGGATCCTGCCCCTTGCCAAAAGTAAGCAAAACGTGAGGGTTTTGTCGCAGTTTCAGCTACAATCGCCACTTCACTACACTCCACTACACTACACCTACAACTACACTACATTCATTACATTACACTACATTACACTACAATCCACTACACTACACTACTGGTACACTACACTACGCTACACTCAATTCCACCACACCACTCTACACTAACTACAGCTACAACTACAACAACAACAACAACAGCAACAACAACAACTACTACTACGACGACGACTACTACTACTAGAACAACAACAACTACTACTACTACTGCTACTACTACGACGACGACGACCACTACGCCTACTACGACTACTACGACTACGACTACGTTACACTACACAACGCAAAACTACACTACACTACACTCCACTTCACTACACTACACTCAATTAGACTACACTACGCTAATCACATTACACCACACTACGACTACAAATGCAACTATCACTACAACTACACTACACTACACGACACTACACTAATTACATTACATTGCATTACATTACGCTACACTACACTGCAATGCAATGCAGCTACATCTACAACTACAACGACACTGCATTACACCACACTACACTACACTAATTACATGACACTACACTGCACTACGCTACACCACACCACACTAATTACATTACACTACACTACACTACTCTACACTACACCGCGCTACACCACACTACACCATGACCACACTACACTACACTACACTAACTACAACTACAGCTACATGATCTACGCTACTTTACACTACGCTTACACTAGACTACACGCAACTACACTGCCCTACATTACATTACACTACACTCATTACACCATCACCACCACAAATGCAATTGCAACTGCGCTACACTAATTACACTACACCGCAACTACAACTACAACTACAACTACAGCTGCACTACACCACACTACATCCAGCAGTTGTGGGTGAGGTGACAGACCAGGTGACCACTGCAACCATTGCAACCACTCCAAGAAACACAACTCCAATCACCTTTCGGTCCATCAGTGGATTCGCTCTGCCATCCGTGATCCACAACAACTCACCTGTCCTATAGTGTCCTATCTTTGAAACTTCCGCCACCGCCTTGTGCGGTACTACTGGTATCTAAATGAATCTAATAAAACAACTCAGACCAAGCTGATTTAGAGACATTTAAACAAGTTACTATTCAAAGCCATTGATTCCGGCTCTGACTTCAGACTCGTACCATTGACATCCATGGACGCGTTGGCAACCTTATGCAAATCATTCACTAGCACGACTTATGTCGACGATGTATTTCTATCATTTTCTACCCAATCCATCATATTCATCATATTCATCAGCACATCCGATACAATTCAATGCAATTCGATGCGTTGCATACTGATGTATATCTGTATATCTGTGTGATCTTGTGTGTTACATCTTCATCTTACATAGTGTCTTTGTCAGGCGGTTTGCCGGCACCTCGGGAGAAGGTAAGTCTGTTGAAGCTGGCTCCGTGGAACTAGAAGAGCCGCTTGAGGTCACCCTGCGATCCTGCAGTGCAACATGACTTGATGAGACGCATAGGACTCAAAGCCACCCCCAATCACTCAAGCGATCCCAAGCGCAAAAAGAGTCAAAATCTGTCAAGAAGCAGAAGCCGAGGAAACAAGGACGGCAAGAACCAAGCAGGATTTGAGACACAGAGAAAATCATGGAGCTGATCCAAGATGATCCAGGAGCTTCTTAGGATATTGCGAGCGACCAACTCTTAGACTCTTTATGACTCTTTATGACTCTTTAGACTTGAGGCAAGGTTTCACCTGTCTGGGTGACATGAATGTTCACTGTCCTGCATTCGCTTCAGAACAAGTAGGGCTTCATCACTGATCTCTAAAACCTTGACTCGTTCGATTCCGAGTCTTTCGACTCTATCGAGTCTTTCGACTCTGTCGAATCTTTCGACTCCGGGTCTTTCGACTCTGTCGACTCTTTCGACTATCTCCTCTGGGGCAGATTCCTGGGGAATGGCAAAACTGGCAAAGACGCTGTTTGAATCATCATGAATCTGCATCATTCATGATCAATCCCTGACTAATGGATCTAATGGCTACTACAAAGTGTCAATGTGACTGACCCTTGCGATCCCTTGTGCAAAAAACTGTGCAATAAAGCGTGCAACATGGCTGAAGCAAGTCCTCATCGCAGATACAGCTGTTCGACATGCACGGCGCTCAAAAGTGCAGCTTTGCACGCTTTGGACCTGTGACCTCCTCGAGATCTCGTTCAGTGTTGCTCAGTGCTGAGTGTTGCTCAGTTCTTTCACCATGTTTCACTGTCTGATCCACATGGTCTGTCACGCCCAGCAAGCGGCGTCTTGAATAAGGTTCCATCCAAGATGAAGTATGACAATCGTGAAAGAGTCATGAAAGCATGACAAAAGATTATAAAAGTCCAAACATGTCAAAAAAAAGAAAACCAACCAACACGCACACGCCATCGCACGCCAATTGAATATCGATGTCTTCAGGTCGGGAGGTCACAGTTCAGTCTAGAGTCTAAATGGATCTTATGTCCAAAGCCAGACAGAACTTTGGTCTGAATGGCTGCGGAGCCAAGATCACATTTACGGCAACACAACCGGAACGTCTAATGCAGAAGAGTGTGAGTGCAAATTCAAGGAATGCAAAGCACGTCAACAAACACCAAGACCGTCTATCCAGATCTGGAGCTCACATGAGCTCAGGTATAAGAGTTCTGGAATGTGGTTGTTTGTAGGTGCTTATTGTGTGGTCATCTATGTATAGCATGTGATCATGGGACATTTCTCACGTTTTTTTCCTTCCAAGAAAGATATCTCCACTGTCTTCATCTTCCTGTCCCATCTATCGTTTCCGGCTGTCTATCCCTAGCCTCGGTATTTTTGAATCCTACGACATCTGTAAGGTTGATTAAGGTTGCCCTTTCTCGAGATTTCTGCTGTCCACATGTCACATGTCCATCGTCCAAGCCGGACTTGCGCCTGAACGTGGCAGGCTGTGGGCTTCCCGTCCACCTGAGAAGTGATGATCTCGAAGGTCACCGTAGAGCCTTCCGCGACGGCCTGTGCCAAGCACAACTAAGCACAACTAAGCACAACTAAGCACAACTAAGCACAACAATTCATAAGTTGAACCTGTCTTTGGTCCAACTCGTTCCAGCTTGTTCCAAATGATTGAGACGTGTTCCAACTTGTTCAACGGAATTTGCAAATCTAATCATGATGACAACCATGGTATTGATTGTGTTTGTGCCTGGTGCAGTGTGATTTGTGTTGTATTGTTTTGTATCGAGTCGGCTTGTGATGGTTTGAGTTGGGGTGTGGTGGGGTGGGGCAGTGTGGGGCGCGTTTTGCGTTGCTGCTCATTTGTTTGTTCCTGTTCCTGTCGCCTCAATGCATAAAAGTCCAATCCTCGTCAAGCATGTCAAATTCAATGGCGTGTCATGACCAGTCGTCTCAAACGACAACAACTAACTTTTATCAATTTCTACCGACCAATCGGCTCCGATTAACGTTTTTTATGCATTTTGATGGATTTTGATGCTTTTTGCACATGATCGCTTCTCGGGTACCCACATCCCACGCCTGAGCATGGGGTCCATCAGGACCACCATCGAAGCGACTCTTGTGAACGAAAACCTGCAAGGGCCATGTTCAAACCAAAACACGTCAAGACCGTCAAGACTCTGAATCCCATACCTTCAAGTTCCCATGCGATGCTTGGCAAGAGAGTTGTGTGTATTCCTTCTTATTCTTGGCGATTGCGTGTTTGACCACACGAGCCCAAAACAGGTCTTTGCGGGACCGAAACGAGCCCCTACAGGAAGGGAATGAAAGCAAACGTAACTTGTTGGTAGGCAGTCAGCATGGCTTAGACATATTTTGCACTACATCGGTTTTTTGAACGGACAAGTAAGTCCGTCATCAAAATTTGCAAGAATGTTCAAAGAACTCTCACTTCTCTACCAGTACAGTAGTATTTCATGTGGTTGTCACTGCTTCGCTCTGCCACGCTCTGCCTCCTCTCCCAACTCGCCAGCTGCATTTGGCTGCAAACACCTGGCTGCTGGCATCTCCAAATTTTCGCACATTCTCAGAGACTCCGGCCGGATCCAGATCGCAGCCAACATCAGCAATACTCAATGACTTAAACTTATGTAATTGGTATGTAAAAAAAACGCTATTGTAGCGTTATATAGATTTATATAATATTGCTCACTCAATACTTCGTCAATACTTGTCAACACACTTGCATCGACTGAGGCTAAAAATGTGAGGCTTCAACAGAATTTTTCCAAAGCCTTTCTCTTTGCCTCAGCTTCATTCAGCTTCACATCTTCACAAATCGTCCATGCTCTTCCAAGTCTTCCGAGTGTTTGGCCAATAGAATCTGATAAAAGCTCAGCAAACGCTCTACAGTGAGTATATACTGGGCCTTCAAACACTTGAAACGCTTGAAAGACTGTGGTATCTCAGTATCTCTTGCATATTCTTGATATCGCCTTCATATCTCCTTGATATCTCCTTGATATACTTGGCAAGTCTTGGTGCTTCGTGGTGCTACGTGGTGCTTCATGGTGCTTCGCAGCTGGGCATCTGGCTGAACCACTTGACTCGGCCCTCGAAGCGCGGCGGGCCTTGAGGTCAGAATTCGTCAACGTTGCCAAACCCTCCCCCCCCCAAAAAAAACTACAACAACCGCAACAACCGGAACAACCGGCAGGGAAGTTATAGTAAACATCCACAACAGCAGTCAACTCTGCGAACCCTGTGATCCACTCTCATTGGATTCTACAATATTCTACAAGTACTCTCAGTCTCTCACTCTGCAGCCCCTTGCAGCTCCTATTTCTCATGGCAGTGGATGGCGGCCGCGTGTTCGCAGGCCAGTGAATTCAGCACACTTTAAGTGGCCAGCTGGTGGCGTGCAACTAAATGCGCTAACTAGCTTCAAAGATCATCCAAGAATCTCAGCCTACAGCCTACAGCCATGAAAAAAATCGCTTCGACTAAATTTCATCTCAGGAGTGTCTTGTTCAGTCGGCCGATCACAGCGCAGCGCAAGCCAAATTCTTCCTACTGCGATTCATGGCAGGCTGCTTGCCTGAGGGCAAGTGAACGCTTCTGAATCTTCTGATTTTCCTCGAACATCCGGCAGCATCCGGCAGCTCAAAAATATAATGAAGCTGCTGTCAAACTGTAAATACTGTAACTCTCTCAACAGCACATACTTGGTTTCGCAAGACCACTATGCATGCCTTCCAACCAGAATTTGTTGCGAGATCTAGGTGCTGCAGTACAGCTGGAATGTACAGTAATCTTTCCTTTATGAGTCCGGTTCCTTGGTGCAAGACGTCCCACATTGTGTACGTTCAATGACAAATCCCATTGAGCCCTACACTTACTGAAAGACTCCTCTTCCAAATTCAAGTGATTTCAAGCGCTTGCCCCCCACTACGCCCCTGGTATCATCTAGTATCCCATGGCATCCTGTTTTGCTCCTCTTGCTGTTTTTACGGCACAGCTGTGAGATGCTGTGAGACTATGAGATTCTGATTCATCCGATTCCTAGTTTGGTTCCCAAATCTCCCAGTGCCTCTGTCTCGTGCCCGTCTCCGAGTATGCCGTCTGCGTCGGGCATGATCCAAACGAGGAGGTGCGCTGACCTGGGAGGAGCGATGAAGACGACCTGCATGGATCTGCAGAATCTGGATTTTCCGTGATCGACACCATTAGAATCAGAGCATTATATGAATTAGATGGGTTTCGATGGTTATTGGACAGCGTTATATCGAAACATATTGCTCCCATTTTATTTTTATTATTATTATTATCTAAATTAATAATTTAATATCATTTATCTATGAGGCAGGATTGTGCGAGCGAGACCCATGTATTGGAACATTGATCGTCGCAATCTCTGTGACCATCTGATACCATTTGTAACCTCGTCCCATGGCACTCCAGTCCGCCAAGGTACTGTCGAAATCAATCTCTTGCACAAGGGCACAGCCGGAACAACAGTGATAAAAGTCCTCTGTATGGTGACATCCCATTCACACATTTCTAAACCATCAGATTGTTCCTTGGGAACACGCGGGCTGGACACCGGCTTTGGCCCAGGTGATCTGTACTTAGACTTAGAATTATGGGTGGTCTGCGCGCGCAGCGCGGCTGCGGCTACAGCTTGGTTTGCCTTTGCAAGTCTCGTTGCCACAGAATCGGAGCGTTGACGTTCGTCACGGTCTTCCAAGTCTTCACCGTGTTCCAGGTGTTCCAAGTGTTCCAAGTGTTCCAAGTCATGTCTCCGATTTCGTGCTTCAAAAGTCTGCATTGAGAGCTGGTCTCTCGACTGCACAGCGACAGCAGCGCTCCGACCGGCGAACACGGCAGAGGCTGCCATGCGAGCCGCCGCCTTCCGTGCCGCTGCAAGGCGGTCATCGCTGTCCATGGCAATGCTTTAGCCCATTGAGAAAAGTGCTGAGAAAATGACATGTCAAGAGACATGGAGAGAAACAATGAGAAACAGGCGTGGTCAACGAAACATGGAATGTTCCAAACATGATCCAATCTCTGAATGATATCCACCGTTTTTGCAGCAAACGTTTAGCACAGCGTCATGCTTCAATTCACTTGAACAGGCTGCCACGCGGCCTGTTGGAACTGGAAGCGCAGCCTTTGGTGAGTTGCATTGATTGTATTTGATTGCATTTGATTGTCATATCATAACGCGGATCAGAATGAAGGTCCAAGATGGTCCAGGTGAGTTGGAACGCACTTTGGATCACAGTGGATCACAGTTCAAAGCGGATCCAGGTGACCTGCCTCAACCGCGTCCAGTCGTGGTTTCTTCTCTGGAGGCCTTGTGAAGGTCCAAGTCGGGCCCAAGTCCAATAGACGGGGTCCAAGCCATACTAAGTCACACTTTCTCTTGTCAGCTCGAGGTTTCGTATGTCTTGTGAACCTGCCGGGCTCCAAACTCGCCATTGATTGTCATTATGGTGTCCACGGGATCAATGTCGCCATTGATTGGGAGAACCTCTCTGCATCATTCTGCATCTGTCTACCACATGACGACCACAGTTCTCACACTGAGTGCCAAACACGCTGTAGGTCCCTACCTCAGACGGTGCCGGATGGTGCCGGGCAAAGCATGGCACAACAGTGGCACGACAGCGGCGCCGAAAGTGTCAAAAAAAATGTCGAAGTCACAGCGTGACAGCGTGGAGTTGGCCGCGGACGTCGGAAGTAGAAGAAACTGTTGTTCGGCCCCTTCACCTGAAGATTGTTGAAGCGTGTTGAAGCACAGAGAATCATCAAAATGCTTCGAGATCAAGTAAGCGAAGACAAGCGAAGCAGGGGCGTGTTGCGTTCATGCTGTAGGACATGGCAAGCAGCCAACAGCAGTCAGGTCAATAGAACCTCGCGTACGGCCCCATCTGCGCGAATGGCATACTTGTCCTCAAGGACATACGCCTTAGAAAATTGCTCGCTTGGCTATACCTTTTCATGGTGAAGTTGATGAGCTCGCATTCTAGAAGTGTGCAAAATCCGGATGCAGCAATAACAATCACTTCACACGAAGGGACGGTGAAAGCGCTGCCTGTTGCCCTTTTCGTATCTTTACACCTAAAATATAAACACTGAGAGATACGCATATGTGTATATATATACATATAATTACCATGGCATATAGATGCTTAGATGGAGATAGAGGAAGAGGAGAGAGAGAGAGAGAGAGAGATAAAGAGAGAGAGAAGAAGTTTTGCTTACCATCTCCGAATGTGATTGTTATGATTGCTCAATTGCGACCAGAAAGGCTTGTTCCAAATTGCAGCGTCTGACTGAGGCTGCCGGGGCATCGGCCCTTGTAATGATCCCCTGTCGTCCATCTCCAAAGATCACGGCCTAAATGTCGTGTGACTGAGTGCATGTCACCGTGTGAGGATATGTCGGATATGTCATGGTTCCCAGTGGTGCGAGGATATGTACGGACATGTCTTCTGCCTCCCCGCGCTGAAGTGGAGGCTCCAGTGGCTCTGCAACCTGGGAGAAAACAAATTCTGACATGGAGGCATTATGGACGCGGATGAAAGGACAAAGGAAGCAAACCTGCAATTGTCCCAAGGATTACCAGTGATATGGGAACAGGCATGTGTGGGAGGACATGCGCATAGCAACTCCACAATGTCTATACACGGCACTGAGACACCTATGAAATCGATAGATGGATAGATAGATATGGATAGACAGATAGACAGATAGACAGATAGACAGATAGACAGACAGACAGACAGACAGATCGATCGATAGACAGATAGACAGATAGACAGACAGACAGACAGATAGATAGATCGATAGATCGATAGATGGGTAGATGGATAGATGGATAGATAGATGGATAGATGGATGGGTAGATGGATAGATGGATAGATCGATCGAAAGATGGATGGATGGATGAATGGATGGATGGTTGATTGGATGGATTGATATGGAGATCTAGATAAGAGTATGTTGATGCTGGTGGATCCCTAGGTTCAAGGTTAAAAGATGTGAAACTAGTCTTTGAAAGCCCATTCCATCCAAGATGCAGCAGAATTCTCTGGAGCTTTTGACTCCATGTGCACACCAAGCTCATGCCGGGCGCAAAACTGGACAGTTTGCACGAAACGAAGCAAGAGAACTAGCAACAGATTCATTTGGACATGATTGTGTACAGATGTAATTCCGTAGATATCCGTATATGAATTATGATGCTCCGTCGTTGCACGTGCTTGTCATCAGATTTCAATTTTCAGCAAGCCTTTCCTTGCGAGTGACTTGTTGCAACCCTAAGGGCCGACACTTCATGTGGGTGAAAGAAAAAATCAGGCGTTTTTTGGCTGATATCAGTTGGCCATGCATGTCTCTAGGAAGGACTTTGAGCGTCTCTGAGCACGATTTTGTTGCTTAAGAGGGAACTCCTGCATAGACTGATGTACTTTGGAACCTCATGAATCCTACCCCTTGAGCCACAAACGGCCATAATAAGACAATGGGCACTAATTTACGTTGCATTTACTTTTTCAATTTCGATCTATTCGGACTGCCACGGCAATCCTCAGATCCTTCCTCGTCCAATCGCAAGTGTCCAGGATGTCCACTTTTCTCAAAGCAATTCAACCCAAAGGGCCATCTGCACGGCTCCCTGTAGCCGTGTACTCAAGCCTACAACAAGGTGCGATGCAATTTGATGCGATGTTCTACAGGGAAAACATGTGTTCCTTCTCCCCTTTGCTGCATGTGAAAGGCATCCAGGCCTGTACCGCCTCCCAGCAGAGCTCTCTGCATCGAACAAAGCTGCACCAAAGGCAGCTGCCTGAGCAACGGCCGACTGTGGGACTGCGTCCCTTGATCTCCCATGCACAATGCAAATGCAAATGCGAGCGTATTTTGGGCAAACCAAAAACCATCACAGAACGCAAACGATGCAGCAAGAAATCACCACCATCAACTTTGCCTGCACCAAAATGCACAAACCACACAACATGTCACGAGTCTAGAGTCTAAAGATGTCTAAAGCATCAACAGAATTAAAACTGAGGCAACGTTCTCTAATTTGCACCCTCACAGCTCTTACCCTCAGTCTCCGACCTCCAAACTCAGACGTCTACGCGATTCGTCTGGGAGCATGAGCTGGGGTCAAACGGGGAAATGATATGAAATCATATGAAATCATATGAAATCATATGAAATCATGTAAACACAATTGGACACACCAATTCAAAATAATTCAAAATAATTCAAAATTGGACACACCAATTCAAAATAATTCAAATGAACTCTCTTGTTTTTGATGCTGTTCAGTTTCTCGATGGTCGTCTTTGAGGGATTGCTATTCCAACCTGGATCCAATCGGATTCCAGGTCAGCTTGGGGTGCTTCGATCATGGACGATACAGCAGGCATTTTGGCGGGGGATACCGAGACTTCTGCGATGCTTCAGCCAAACTCCACTGGCTAAATCTCTACTTTGGAGACTTGCAAAGAAAATTTGGTGATTCTGGGACTCTGGGGGCTTATGTCCTATGTGTGATCCAGTGTGCGTGCGCACCCTTCTGAGCGTTTTGTAACGATGTTTTTGCTGTGTGGTGATGGGCCCGTGAACCCTTCAAGGGCGTTGTTTCACGTTGTTTCATGTTGTTTCATGCAGATATCATGTTGTTTCTGCCTCTGAACATTTTGATACATTTTGCACATCTGTCACGTCTGCGGTTTGCACGCCTGAAAGCTGGAGCTGCTGCACGGCGTCAGGACCATAGTCAAGCTGCTGGAGGAGCTCAATCTGGTGCCGGTATCGTGCAGTTCCAAGGAATGACTATGAATAACACAATGAATAACACAAGGGATAACAAGGAAAACCTGATGGCAAAGCGAAATAAAGTAAATACAAGTCAGTAAAAGTCAGACAATATACAGTAATCATATGAGTCACCGAATAGCCTTCCTTAGTTGTTCAATCGTCGTGACTGAAGTCGTACACATGTTCACTCTTTGTGATCTGCCAGGCCTGTGATTGCGAATATGGGCATCGTCACTCCACCAATGAGAACAACAACTTTCTGAAGCATAATGAAGTGTAGAAATACGGTAACAGCCACTACAAACCACGAATACGCACTGCTTATTTCTTGAGCCAATGCAACACATGTTAGAGGTGAAACAGCTATATGTAGACTACTACTGTGCAACAACACCCCCCGTGCAGTGTAACACAGGAAGGTGAAGCTGCAAATTACGCCGTGCACAGTCTAGAGTATAGGGATGCCATTACATATTGAAACAACAATTAACCTAAACCCCGGACAGATGGCCTTCCTTTTGTGTAGTCTTTTCGGTCTTCACCTCAGTGTTGCGTAAGTTGACAAACAAGAGCAAAAAGTGACAATGCATATCCTTCGGCATAACATCAAGTATCAAGGCCAACGGATGCAGTGGACATCAATTCGGTCGAATGCATTCAGCTTTATTTTAGGCTCGACTGGGCTTGTGGTCGAACATGCAAGGTGGAAAGAAAAGGTCTTGGCCCGATACTAGGCCAGCGTTTCCACGCGGCAACAAAAGTTCTTGTGGTCGCCCAGGAGCTTGCCAAAGCAAAGCAATCCGAATTATGGCAAAAGCTGAATTCAATGTTGTGTGAACCCGCAGGGAAGCCTTTAGAAATGCTTCAAAGCTGCCTTAACTTCGCAAGGCAAGAGCTTCCGCTCTGCGGTACATGCAACTACCAGCCGTGTGCTATGCAAGAAGGAATCATGGCAAGAACAAGATGAGTGCCAAATGCCTGCTTCAAATTATATGCATTCAAAGCGTTAATGAAACTTTTGTGAACTTGAATGAGTTGGCAAAAATTCCGACTTAGCACACTTGTGTTGGAAATGATGGTGGAATCGCTCACCCACCTGTGCAAAATGAAGCTAGTCGCCTAACCGAATTAGATCCGAAAAGGCAACAGCTTCCGCTGTGCGACACCTCTCATTGAAAGGAAACTATCCCGCCTCAGATGAAGATAAATCCACCAGGCGAGAGGTTCCCCTCCGCGGTGCCTCAGCGATAGCCCGACCAACGTCGATCCCTGTATTGGTGGCCTTGGTTTCGGCGGCGCCAATCTTCCCACTCCTGGTCAGTCCACTGATTGTAGTAGTCGTTCCATTCCTGCTGACTGTAGCCATGAGTGGGCCCCTGATGAGAACCATAGCCAGGACGCGAGGACCTGGTGACATCTGGGTTCTGCTGCTTCGTTGCAGGTAGGGGTCGGCTTCCGCCTTCCGTGTCCTTTGCCTCCGTGAGGGGGCGCAAGATGTCGTCGACATAGCTGAGAATGTCGGCATACACATCCTGCTTGGACAACGCAAGGGATTGGAACGTCGTATTGGCGACGCTCAAGACCTCAAAACGATCGGCCACAGGGATCAGAGCATAGGCGGCCGCGAACTGGTTGGCTCTGTAAAAGCGGTTCTTGTACCAGATGAGTACATGATCATCCACGATGATCGTCTTCATCTGTTCCTCTTCGTATGCGACCATGCACATACGCGCTTTGTACTGCCGAATCTTTCCAGTTCGGATCTCCTCGCGGGTGCGTTTGATGGAGGGAAGCACCACGTTGCCCAAAACGGTAATCCAATGCATACACCGAGGTGTAAGGTCTTGGACCGCACAATTGAAGGCGTAGTGGCGTCCGTTCCCAGACGCTGTAGCAAAGTCAGCCCTGCTTTTCTCGCCTGCTTCATGTATGAGCGGGCGTGATTTTTGAGGACTGCAGCAGCAGATCTGATCTGCTTGGCACCTTGGGTGGTGCCTGCTACATCGTCGTCGCCCAGAAGATCCAACGTCAGCTCGAAGCCCAGCTTCTCGGCCAACTCTTCCAGGCGGAACACCTGACACGCACGACGCATGTCGGACATTGTCGCCAATGACAAGCCGCATGCGAGGCAAACCAACATCCCCTCAGGAAAGATCTTCCTGCACCGGGGGCATGTCAACTCCGGCATTGCCAGCATTGAAACATACCGCCAGCGCGTGAGGTTCCCCTCCGCAGATGGGTCAAATGCCTCCTGATCGAAGCGATCAGAACGGCGTTCCCGCGCGTTGTCAGGGGCGATGTCGAAGCCAGCAGCAGTTGCCGTCGGCTTGCGTGCCACACAGAGGAGATTGGTGAAGTTGAGCGGCCTTTGCTTGATCTTGGGCAGCAACTCATCGACGACAGGATATGGTGTCGGAACTTCCTTGTAAATGAGCGGACGTCGCAGAGTGATGACATCCTTCCACTGATCGTACTCATTCACGAACATGTTCTTCAACACCTCCAGGTCCGAAATCTCGTACCTCTCAAGTTCGTCATAGTTGGGAGTGCCCTTCCGAGCCTCGTTCTCCTGCCAAGTGAGAGCGTTCTCGGAGGCCTTCTGCCGAAGGTACTTCTTCACCCGATTGTAGCCATGGTTCGCCCAAAGGTATTGCGACTTCTCGCAATCGAATGCGTAGATGAGGCAATGATTGGGCACCCAGTCCTCAGTGATGAGTGCACCGGCCAAGGTTTCCACCAGGCGAAGACCATAGTGCAAAGCACAATCGGTGTCGATCGCGATGCACAGCGGTCGGTTCGTCCTGACACCAGGATCCTTGCCTTCGATTTCCCAAGGCGCATGGCGGGTCATATACACATGACCCTTGCATGAAGTGGCCCCCGGAAAAATCCGTGCAAATGATCTGCTGGAGGGAGTCCCATGAAGTGTAATGGTAAATAACCTTGAACTCTTCTGAGACCTCGGCTTCCGCCAGGTGAGGATAAATGGGGACCCTTGGATAGAATCCCTTCTTCAAGTCCTCGACCGTGAACTGGTAGTCAAGCGATATGATTTGCTTGACCAATGGAGCCGTTCCCACCTTGTCGATGAGGGACTGGTCATGACCTTGGCACGCCTTCACATGCGTGATGCGATACGGCATGTCCATGGTTGTCAGTTCCCCGACAATTCCAGCCTGAATGCGGCACATGAACCTGTCCTGAGTTCGAAGGATCAGGTACAGGTCCTGTCGCGAAAGCTGAGCACGATGCCGCTTTCGGAGGTACGTGTACATGGACTCAAAGTTCAAGTACAGCTCCTCATCAAATTCAGGAGGAATATGGCGATGGTGCGCCTCGAGGAACTTGTGGTCATAGCCACGCAGCAGCCCGGTCACCCTCTTCGAAAATTTGAAATCATCGTGACCGAGTCTTCCAAGGTCCCTCAGGCCTGGCAGGTCAGTACACCGGATGGTGAATTCCCTGCGCTCACCCGTTCCCGGGGAGAAAAAGTACCACTTGGGATACCCATGTGGTCGCAAGGGCGGTTCAGCCGGAGGCTGAGGTCCACCCGTTCCCGGGGGAGGAGCACTTGCCATAGGCGGCTCCTTCTTGGCCATCTTCGGGGCAGGCTCCGACGAAGACGTAGCTGCAGGCGCCGATGACTTCTGCGGAGGTGCCCTCGGTGAAGTTGTTGTCAACGTTGTAGGCGGTGCCTTGAAAGGCAAAGCTTTGGGCATAGGATGGTCCGCAGCTTCCGCTGGGAGTGCAGGTGGCTCCGGCTTGGGGGATCCAGTTGCACTCTTCGGAGTCGGTGGCGGACTGGGCTTTGGGGACGCCATGGGAGACGTTCCCGTCGCCGTTGAAACCTTTGGGAGCCGCGGAGCAGGCTTGGGCTGAATCATGGTAGCCTGATCCCTCATCTTGGGTTTGATGAATTGGCTGACAGTGTCCCCGATCACCTGTGCGATGCCGGTCGAAGATGATGCCGCTTAGGATGAGGAAGCCGCCTTCGACTTGGCCTTCGACATGATTTGGACAGTGGCAGCAGGGTCACCCGCGCGAAGTTTCTCCTCGGCGGTCTTGGGCTCCTCGAAGATCTCCCTTTCCATCTGACGATGCTTCTCCTCATCCGTCAAGTCAAAGCGACGAATGATGACCGCACCACTTTCGGTCTGCTGCATGGATTCCTGCCGAAGTTCGAGCTTGGCAGGGTCACGTGTGACGTCGGTGTCCAAGATGTTCACTACGCCAGAACCATCCAACTTGAAGTCCACAGCATGGATCTTGTTCATCAGATGGGAGCGCAGCTTCCGCTGGCTAAACATTGATGCTGAGCCGCCGACAATGGGTTCTCTGAAGACAATCTCCTCGTCAGCGTCCGGCTCGTCAATGTCACGCTCGTCGGAAACACCAGGCAACCGATCCAAAAAGGGCTTGAGGATGGCGTCGATGAGCTCACCATCCATCTCCGGCTCTTTGATCTCATGCGGTTCAAAGTGCTCGGGTTCCCCCGGCAGTGCAGCGTCCACAGACTCCAAAAGCTGCCAGTTCGATGAGGCCACAGTGGCATCATCCTGCACCGTAGGAGCCTGCGCGACTTGTGCACGTGCGGGGTCAACTTCGTTGGGAAGCCGTTGCCCTTTGGGTCGGGTCTCCTTCACATAGATCTCCCAACCGTCCACGTCCATGGAAACCAACACCTCTTCCATCTCTTCCCATTCAGGATTGTTTTCCGGTTGAGGGTTGGCCAGCGATTCCTCGCGGCGCTTCTTCATCTCAGCCATCTCAATCAATGGCTTGCACGACCGAAGTCGAAAGAGATGATAACCAAGAGCACCTGCTTCGGAATAGAACCTGATGCACTGGAGGCGGTTATGCTCCGAATTCTCCATGTGCTGGCCGTCGTATCGTGTAGTACACTTGATAAGCGACGTGGCATCGAGGACGCAGAGTCCACGTTTCCTCAAAGCCTCAGCTTCGCGAATCATTTGACGGTCATA